CCAAGCGCACAGATCGGGAATGTCAATCAGGTCTTTCTGACGAGCGCGGGCATCTTTAACAAGTCTTTCGAAGTGAGCAAAAAGTCTGTCAGCCTCGGATTTGAAATGTTTCTCCACGCCGAAATGAATACAAATTCTTGCCTTATGCTGCGCTGGCATAGCCACAGCTGCGTGGTGCAAGGCCTCGTAGCTCCTGAAGTGTGGGCCTGCGTCGCTAAGTAGATGTATTGTCTCCACAGGCCCTGTTCCCCGACGCTGTCTGATTGCAATCTCAATGCATTGTGAAGCCCGGCAGCTGGAATGGTCGAGGATGTCACTGATGTTCAGCACCCGTGTCCATAATACTGTGGAGTCAGCGCTAGACTTTCGTTCGGCGACAATACTGCCGAAGACTGATATTTCTTTTCTTGAGTTCGCAAAAAACTCTTCGCCTGTTTGAACAGACCGTATTGGGAGTGTTACAAGTTCTTTAAAATCGCTCAAGAACCAAACTGCCAGCCGGTGGCTCGTCTAGCAATTTTTGCAACAAAGGCTTTTGCAATTGGTTTGCTGACCGATGGAATAAATATGAGTCGAGTAATTTGCTCATCTGCTGGCACTTCAATGAGATTTCCGCTTCCTTGGCATGAAGGCTGACTCTCCACCTCTGAGGAAAATCTGATTGTCGAGAGCGCACTTGCAAAAGACCACAAGGGAATCTGTTCACTGCATCTTGATTCCTGTGTTTTCGACATGGATCGCGGCTGCTATGATGGTCAATATAATGCCGCAAGTCACGCAAGTGTAATCCAGGCCTCTCTGCCAAGTCTGTTCCCATCATGTATTGATCCCACTGGGTAAAGTAACTTGCCATGAAGCTTTCTAGATCTGTTCTCAGACTGGAATGTAATTCAGACAATTGCGGCATCACTTTGTTCTTGAGATCCCAGCAATAAATGCAATAGTCGTTGATGCTGTCTGCACCTTTGAAGCGGCGCAAATGCTTTCGTGCCAGCCTATGAAGTGAACGCAAGCTCAAATCTGCTTGCAGATCTGGTTGCTGCAAAAAGACGCTCTTCTTGTCTTCCAACAATGTATTTACCTGAGATGCACAGAGTCCCTTGCACAATAGCTTTGAGCAAATGAACTGTGGCACCAGGTTTGCTCCTAAAAAACAAAAAATGATGCTCTCAGCATGACAAGGCACTAGCATCCATTGTTCCGATTTGTGATCCCAGCATAAGCGACTGCTCGGTTGGGAAGATGCAGCAAAGGCAGCTTCAACTTTTGCAATGACCTCAGGGTTGTCAATCTTATTCGGTCTGCCTCTTTTTGCGGGGGCGGAAGTTGCACCCGCAGCTCCACCATCCCACCGCACGCGGCCAAGAGGATAACCAAAGTCAGAAGCACTCTTCTGGGTGCCGCAATATTCCCGTACCAAGCTGTCGACATAGCGACGTACAGCCAGCACATTGCTCGGTGGGTTGGGAACAGCAAAGCCGGGAGCATTGTTCAGCTTCGAAAGGAAAAATCGAGCGCAGGATGTGAGCGATTCCATAGATGTCGTTGTGTCCTTGCCAAGCTCACTGCTCAATTTTTGCCAAACCACGGACATGATGTCAGGGCAATCCCCCTGTAACTTTTTCAAGGATGCAACCATGTCATCTGCCAACTCATTTGCAGTCGTTTTTCCCAAGGAAGCAGCACGTGTTATTGCTTTTCTCCGCCTCCAGCGCTGCACTTTGGAAGAAGTAGTTTTTGTGCAAATTTTCTTCACCTTCATCTTTGGTCTGGCCGCTGCAGTAGCTTTTGGCATCTCATGGGATGTCTTCTCAGTGGAAGTCTTTTGGGCAGCTGCGCGCTCTTTGTATGCCCTCTTTTCTTCCTTGCTTAACTCATTCCAACGGTTTTGCCACAAATCCTTTTCAAGAAATCGTCTTTGCTCATGTGTCAGCCCTGTAGAAGTACTGCTGGCAGCACGGCCACGGGGTATTTGCAGATCCAGGTTTAACCTCTCGAGCTCTATGCACCAAATCCGCGGAGCTCTGCGGATCTGCTAGAATCTCTTTGACCATGAGACGAAAGCCTGCCATGACTGCAGCATCTTTGCCCATGGCTGAAATCAAAGAGCAAAAGCCAAATCTCGGTAGAATTGCGGCTCAGGATCATGATGCCAGGAAAAACGTATGTTTTGGGGTATGGATGGGGTATCGATGGGGTATCGTCTAAACTTGATGTATAGCTTACAGTTTCTGAGGGAAAAAGATCTGCCGCTCACAAACACATGTATGTATTCAGTTCTGAGGTTTGCATAGAAAAGCAAACATCTGACAGCTTTCGTGACATTTGTCACAGATGTCCAAAGAACCAGCCTAATTATACTGCCACGGTCATCACACAAAATATGACCGAGGCACAAGGAACCGAGGAGCAGAGCATCCAAGCCATGCAATGAACTCTTGCTGTCAAGATGCAGCGTGTGCTATCAGATCCTGGAAAGCAACAGGGATGTCCGCTGCAGCAGGCGCATCTTCGAACTGAAGGAGCCAACGGTAGGCATCTCGTTCTTCCTGGTGGAAAGAAGTCTTCCGTTCACCAGGTGCTGCCGAACTTCGAAATGCTTGGTACTTCCCGCTCCTGCAGAAGCAAAGTGTGAAGAGGGATCCTGGATGAATGAAATCTGTCGGCATTCCGGTTTCAATCACAGCAGGAACCCTGTCCTTGCGTCAAATCTCACCCTTTGCCGCTTGCGCGGAGCCATGCCAGCTAGCAGCAGCACAACTAAAAACGATTGCCACAGCCAAAAACGGCTGCGACATTTGGATACTTTTTGGTCCTCCCTGTCGTTTTTCGAGCAAACAGCTGGAAACCAAATCTGCATGTTGCAGTCCTGATAAACAATCATGTCGATAATTTCAGCTTTCACTCCTGTGATCTCATGATCTGATATATGAGGGGGGTATCGTCTTTAGGGTGTCCCCTATCGTTTTTCCAGGAAAATTACCAAACACGGATGTCCATGAAACCCTCCCTATAAACATAGTTGATGCTAATATTGTCTCTGGCTCATATATAAATGGGTTCACTTCGGGCATAAATGGACTCACTTTCGGCATAAATGGGATCACTTTGGGCATAAAAGCAGAGCCACGACACCTTTAGGGTTTACATCTTGTTGCACTTAATGTAAGAAGAGCCACGACACCCTTTGGGTTTATATGTTGTTGCATTTAATGTAAGAAGAGCCACGACACCCTTTGGGTTTATATATTGTTGCACTTAATGTAAGAAGAGACACGACACCTTTAGGTTTAGAGTCTCTTCACCCAGAGACCCTTCTTCTATAGGCTTTTCAGACTTTTCACCCAGAGACTCTTGACCAATATATTACCGTCAGACTTTTCACCCATATACTTTTCACCCAGGGACTTTCACCAATACATTTTTCGCCCACATTTTTTTAACCCACACTCTTTTCACCCACAGACTTTGCACCCTCAGACTTTTCACCCATACCCGTTTCACCTGTATACTTTTGACCCACGGGCTTTTCACCCACACACTTTTCACCCACAGACTTTTCACCCAGAAACTCTTCACCAATATACTTTTTACTTTCAAATTTTCCCCCCATATACTTTTCACCCACAGACTTTTCACCCATATACTTTTCACCCACAGACTTTCACCCACAGACTTTTCACCCATATACTTTTCACCCACACACTTTTCACCCACATTCTTTCACCCATATAATTACTTCTCACCGATATACTTTTCGCCCGCAGACTGTTTAACCATATACCTTTCACCCCTAGACTTTTCACCCAGAGATTCTTCACCAATATATTTTTTACCCTCAGACTTTTCCCCCATATACTTTTCTTCGTCCATATACTTTTCACTCATACACTTTTTGCCCAGAAACTGTTCACCCATTTATATTGTTTTTCACCCACAGACTTTTCACCCACTGACTTTTCACCCGCAGACTTTCACCCATACAGTTTTCGCCCACAGACTTTTCACCCACAGACTTTGCACCCTCAGACTTTTCACCCATACCTGTTTCATCCACATGCTTTTGATCCATGGACCTAGAAAACAACCGGCCCTAGGGGGAATCGATACCCACCGTTACTGTTTTGTCGCATGGTACATTACCCTGCAAAACCATACCTTTCGCACGCCGAAAACGCCAACTTTTTACGACGTTTTCGGTAACTTAAGGCAACTACCTCTCCCCACACCCCCTATTCTCACTTCGTTCGCGAATAACAAGTATACTGCTTCCCAGCTGGCTTTCGTAATAGAGGTTGTAAACAAATTTATCGCGGGGTGTGGCACGATGAGGTTGAGATTTACCAAGGCATTCACCAACACACGGGAACTTGCAGCAATCTGCAAGCGAGGCCCTACGAAAGGAAATGAACATGAACCAACCCTCAGGGGGGGTAAAAAAAACTTGGGAAATCACGGAATCAAATCTTCACAAACTGGGACATGTTCTTAAAATAAAAAAGCACCAAGAGACGCTGGGATTAAACAAAGAATACACTTGAACTGGGTATCAACCAAGAATATGTTCATTTCCTCAAGGAATAGCAAGTTGCAAAGGTAAGCAATCATATGGCAGGCTTGTGGCTGTATGGCATAACGTGGCCGACATGTCAATGATGCATGTAAGCCGAAGGGTTCATCCTGACTTCAAGTGGATCCAGATTTTGTAAGTTCAGAAGGAGGCAGAAAATTAGAAAACATCCAGAAAAAAATGTTAAATATGTTCCCAAATCTGCATCTAGGTCTCTTTATGCTTCCACATGTCATTTTACTATGATGTAAGTTGTGTGTGTGTGTGCGCGCCGTGTGCTTTCTTTTGCCACTAATGTGGTAAACCCATGTAAACCCAATGCCATAAACTATCCCCAAGTCATCATCATGTTTATGGGTGCGAAGAAAAAAAAACGCCGTCATGGTAGGTTTGTAGCCAGGGGTTCACCCACAACTCTGGGCTCCCAGGCATCACCCACAACGCGGTTGGGCCTGCAACAGTCTGCGCTTGGTCGTTCGCTGTCCTTTTTGAACCATGGAATTAGGAATAATTAGGAAAAACTCAGACTGCCGCACAGATATTCAAGATTTTGATCATGGTTGATAACTTTTTGGTCGTAAATCGTGCAGTTTGGGGCAGTCAGCAGTTTCCATCGCCCGTGCCGAGGAAGAAATACTCTGTTCAACGACGTCGGTGCTTGGAGAATCCCTGCCTCGCCCCATGTTGCAAAAGAAGCTCCATCATGCAGTACCCCACATCGCCGTTGAACATACAGACCTCCAGGGCTCTCGTTGACATTCCAGCTATCACCGTCGACATGTCGTTTCCGTAGATCGCTGTCGTTACTTTCTGTGATCACCTGTGGTCACTTTCCATCATCCAAAATGTTGACAAGGCACCAATCTGTTGAAGCATCATCCTAACTTTTGGCACCCGGTCGGTACGGGGCTCACTTTGGGCACAAATTCGAGCTCACTTGGGCATAATTTTTTGAGCTTCACTTTGGGCATAAATGGGATCACTTTGGGCATAAATGAGATCACATTGGGCACAGATGGGATCACTTTGGGCATAAATAGGATGACTTTGGGCATAAACGGGGTTTCTTTAGGGTTTCTTTCGGGTTTCTTTAGGGTTGCTTTGGTTTTTTTTCGGGTTTCTTTAGGGTTGCTTTGGTTTTTTTTAGGGTTTCTTTAGGGTTGCTTAGGGTTTCTTTAGGGTTGCTTTGGGTTTTTTCTTTAGGGTTTCTTTAGGGTTGCTTTGTTTTTTTTTATGGTTTCTTTAGGGTTGCTTTGGTTTTTTTCTTTAGAGTTCCTTTAGGGTTGCTTAGGGTTTCTTTAGGGTTACTTTGGGTTTTTCTTTAGGGTTTCTTTAGGGTTTCTTTAGTTTAGGGTTGCTTTAGGGTTTCTTTAGGGGTTTATTTAAGGTTGCTTTGGGGTATTAGTGTCTAGGGTTCAAGGGTTTAGGGATCCAGGCACAGCACCTATGAGCCCTGAGCCCTGCACGGCGGATAAGTTTCCACTTTACGCCCAAAGCGAACCCTAATTCACGTCCGAAGCGACACCAAATTTATGCTCGAAGCGAGCCAAAATTTACACTCGAAGCGAACCCCGGCCATTGGCCCACCTGGTCGAACTAAGACTATCAACGAATAAAATTGAATGTCATGATGTTTCTGCACCTCCAAACCCCCTCTTGGAGTGGTGTTTCATCAACTCCCCAACAGCCAGCTGCGCTGCTCCGACCCGGCCTGTGTCGCCACATGCAGTGGCCGACAACCGAGGCAAGCTTCATCCAAGTCTGAGGCCTGGACGCGCGCAATGTCTGTGTCGAAGGGGGTACCAATCCCCGGTGATGGTTGTTTTACTGGGAAAATGAAGGCCATTTATTGGGAAAATAAGGTATGTTCCCATATATATTTCCCAAGCATCAAATTTTGGGGGTAGCCTATCTGAAGAGACCCCGATTCCTCAAGGAGAATCATTGGGGAGTATTAGAAGGTCGCCGGTCCTTCATATCAGTGTGTGAATTTTCTCTTGGGAATGGTCCAATTTGATTTCTCATTTACTCTGGGAAGGGTAGATTCTTATATAGATATTCAAGTCCCCTAGTGTTTGTACCAACAAAACTAAACCGGTGAGGATAGCATGCCTCGAGAAGTGGTTTTGTGGCGTTGGGTGTCGCCTCCATGTTTTCTCCAGGTCATGACATCGCACCTCCACCCTTGTTCTATGGAAGCTCCACAGTGCATGTGATAAAAATATCTCAGAATTAATGGGAATGACTCAAGCGTGGGCTACCTTCCAGAACACCTGCACGGCGGCTAAAAAAGGTCAGAACATCCATGCTTGGAGCATCTTCCCATGTTTGTCTGGCAAAACAGCCATGTTCGCCTTCGAAAAAAAACATGGTGGTGGTTACTGTAAATCATTAAATCATGATAAGTCCATCTTTTGGCAACTCCCAATATGATTTTTCGCTGAGTAAACTGCTTAAGCAGCCTTAAAACCCTCCATGTTTCAGCCTCTGGTAACTCAACAGATTGCTTGGAAAATAACCATGTTTAATAGGTCAGTCATCGAACTACATGGGCCATGCCATGTTCCATACCCAAATGGAATTCGCACAGGGTATCTTTCACCAGTCCCGCCAAAAACATCACTAGTCTCGCCTTACGTTTCAGAAGATACTCCAAGGCGCGCAAGCTGTGCCGGCGAACGGCCTGACGTTTAGGCTTCCCAAAAAAAGAGTCTATGGACAAGGTAGAATCATTCTGATCCTATAAGTGGAGGTTTGAACGAGAAAAACATAGAAAAACATCGGAAAATCCTGGTGAAATCCACGAACAGAATGGAGGTTTAATTCGCGAAAGTCATCGAACTACATGGTGGATTCTCCTTAAAGCCATTTTTGATTTTCAGAGGGCATAATATATGTATATAGATATAGGTCAACGTTGGATTGTGAAACTTTCCGGTTGGATTGTGAAACTCCCCGGTCGGATTGTGAAACTTCCCGGTCGGATTGTGAAACTTGGATTGTGAAACTTCCCGGACGGATTGTGAAACTAGTATTGTGAAACTAGTATTGTGAAACTGGAAAGTCGGATTGTGAAACTTGAAAATCGGATTGTGAAACTCTAAAATTGGATTGTGAAACTCTGGAGACGGATTGTGAAACTGGGATTGTGAAACTCTAAAGGCGGATTGTGAAACTATGTAGACGGATTGTGAAACTCTGGGGGCGGATTGTGAAACTGAGATTGTGCAACTCTGCAGGCGGATTGTGAAACTCTGGGGACGGATTGTGCAACTCTGCAGGCGGATTGAGAAACTCTGAAGAAAAATTCTGAAAAGCTGGGGGGGCGATTGTGAAACTGGTGCTGTGAAAGTCTGCGGTGAATCTTTACGTGGAGATGGTTGCACGGGTGCTGCGAATCTCTGAAGGCAGATCAGGAAACAGTGAAACTCCAAGTTGCAGAATTAAAGCCTCAGTTTGAAATTCTCTTAACCTTGTGGAGACTCCAAGTCAGTTTGAAGTTCCATGGGCATGGGAATTTTCATATCATCTTAACCTTGTGGAGACTCCCCAGTCAGTTTGAAGTTCCATGGGGGTGGGAATTTTGATATCATCTTCAACTTGTGGACACTCCAAGTCAGTTTGAAGTTCCATGGGGGTGGGAATTTTGATATCATCTTCAACTTGTGGACACTCCAAGTAAGTTTGAAGTTCCATGGGGGTGGAAATTTTTATCTCATCTGAGACTTGTGGAGACTCCAAGTCAGTTTGAAGTTCCATGGGGGTGGCAATTCATATCATCTTAACCTTGTGGAGATTCCAAGTCAGTTTGAAGTTCCATGGGGGTGGGAATTTTCATATCATCTTAACCTTGTGGAGACTCCAAGTAAGTTTGAAGTTCCATGGGGGTGGAAATTTTCATATCATCTTAACCTTGTGGAGACTCCAGTCAGTTTGAAGTTCCATGGGGGTGGGAATTTTCATATCATCTTAACCTTGTGGAGGCTCCCAGTCAGTTTGAAGTTCCATGGGGGTGGGAATTTTCATATCATCTTAACCTTGTGGAGACTCCAAGTAAGTTTGAAGTTCCATGGGGGTGGAAATTTTCATATCATCTTAACCTTGTGGAGACTCCAGACAGTTTGAAGTTCCATGGGGGTGGGAATTTTCATATCATCTTAACCTTGTGGAGACTGCAAGTCAGTTTGAAGTTCCATGGGGATGGGATTTTTGATATCATCTTGAACTTGTGGACGCGCCAAGTCAGTTTGAAGTTCCATCGGGGCGGGAATGTTGATATCATCTGAGACTTGTGGAGACTCCAAGTCAGTTTGAAGTTACATGGGGGTGGAAATGTTCATATCATCTTAACCTTGTGGAGACTCCCAGTCAGTTTGAAGTCCCATGGGGGTGGGAATTTGCATATCATCTTAACCTTGTGGAGACTGCAAGTCAGTTTGAAGTTCCATGGGGATGGGATTTTTGATATCATCTTGAACTTGTGGACACGCCAAGTCAGTTTGAAGTTCCATGGGGGTGGGAATTTTGATATCATTTGAGACTTGTGGAGACTCCAAGTCAGTTTGAAGTTCCATGGGGGTGGGAAATTTGATATCGTCTTTAACTTGTGGACACGCCAAGGTAGTTTGAAGTTCCATGGGGGTGGGAATTTTCATATCATCTCCACCTAGTGGAGACTCCAAGTCAGTTTGAAGTTCCATGGGGGTGGCAATTCATATCATCTTAACCTTGTGGAGACTCCAAGTAAGTTTGAAGTTCCATGGGGGTGGAAATTTTCATATCATCTTAACCTTGTGGAGACTCCCAGTCAATTTGAAGTCCCATGGGGGTGGGAATTTGCATATCATCTTAACCTTGTGGAGACTGCAAGTCAGTAGTTACGCAATTTGACCGAAGAGTTGCGCAATCCTGGGAGTTGCGCAATCCGACCAAAGAGTTGCGCAATCCTGGGAGTTGTGCAATCTGTCGAAAGTAGTTGCGCAATCCGACCAAAGAGTTGCGCAATCCTGGGAGTTGCGCAATCTGTCGAAGGTAGTTGCGCAATCCGACCCAAGAGTTGCGCAATCCTGGGAGTTGCGCAATCTGTCGACAGTAGTTGCGCAATCCGACCAAAGAGTTGCGCAATCCTGGGAGTTGCGGAATCTGTCGAAAGTAGTTGCGCAAGCAGAGTTGCGCAATCCTAGGAGTTGCGCAAGCAGAGTTGCGCAATCCTAGGAGTTGCGCAAGCAGAGTTGCGCAATCCTGGGAGTTGCGCAATCCTAGTTGCGCAATCCGACCAAAGAGTTGCGCAATCCTAGTTGCGCAATCCGGAGAAGTTTCGGAATCGGACTTTATTCTATAGATATACATATATATATATACATATATATATATAATTATAATTATATATATATTATCTGAATATATGTATATATATATATATATGTAAAATATGTATATATATTATTATATATGTAATTAAATAGATCTTATATATGTAATATGCATAAATGACATATTCATATATGTATACAATATGTCTTGATAAACCATTGAACTGAAAACCATCGGCGATTCATCGTTTGGATGTTGATTCATTGGTTTATCTTTGGGGGACCCACGGAAAAGGGAGGATATGTTGGAAACCAGTGGTTCTTTTACCATGAAATATTGTATTGACGGGGAAGTTTCCTGTAAATGTTCATGTAAACCAATTCTGGGTATGTGATAGAAATATATAAAAATGACATGATCCATTAGCATTTCGGTATGGGTACACCAAAAAAAAGTGATGCTGATACTAACAGTGAAAAAAGTTTTCCTGGGTCTTGGATTTTGACTATGCCTGCCTGACATCATTGATGCGGGCATGGCTCAATAGCAGGGTCCAGTAAACCGGAAAGTGGCTGGTCATTTTGAGTCCTTGGCCTTTGACCATTAAATTTGGGATTCCACATAATACCAGTATTATTTACATCTCATTATGATTCTGTGTGGCCGTTTGCCGGGGCTTATGCAGTTCAGATGCTGTGATGTGGTCCCTTCAATCTGGCCATGTCAGTGCACAGCAACGACCAAATCTCAGCAACAAACTCGACTGCAAGAGGCAACCCCAACTGCGCACCTCGTAAACATAGTGGTTACCTCAGGACGGCATCATTTTTCTGGCCAAACTCATCCAAAATTCGTCATTTTCAATGGGAAATGGTTTAGGGTATCCCATTTTAGGGAACACCGTTGGATGATGTTAGCATGTCTAAAATAAAAGGACATCAATGCACCAACAAGCTTGGTCGTATTCAAGTATTCGACATGTTTTGACCACAGGCGTGCACAGGGCCGCTAAGTAGCCAGTATTCAAAATCACGAGATTAAACGGATCTGAAGCCGACTACAGCTTCCCTGACGAGTGATCACAATGGTTCCAAACGCAGAAAATGTGACCCTCCAAACAAGCATACAGAAGCCATCTCCAAACTGCAAGTCGTTCCATGCCAGCAGATCCATCACAAACTCTCTCCAAATTTCACTTGAAATTGTCAAAAATTGAAGGTCCGTGACTCATGCTGGGCTGCATCTGACCATGGATCAAATTTCTTGATCTTGTGTATTTCAGGTAGAATCCCTTGAAAGTAGAAAACAGGAACAGCGACCCCAAGCGTTTGAAACAACCTGGGATTTGGGGTGGTCACTTCCTGCATCCGAGGGAGGGGCTGCAGCAACGGTGGTTGCGCAGCAGCGCAAGCGCCTAGGACTCGGGTGTTTTACTGGCTACCTGGATTGGTGAAAAAACAGGGGTCTCAGAAACCACCTGGGACTTGAGAAAAATATGATGATTGATGATTCATGATAATTATATATAATTATTCTATAGTGTTGCACTAATGAACTAGCAAACTGTAAATTCTAAGTCCCGAATCGTCGAGAAAGTTAATGTGCGGGGGTATACTATACGACCTGGTAAAAATGTGAGATTCTCATGACCTGTGATGGATTTGTTGACAAACTCCTCAGGAAGATGTTACGAAATGTTACGATTATGGGCTTGTCTGAAGATGGGGTAGGCCCCGAAATCCTGTTCCAAAATCGTTTCCCTGTGAAAATTGTCGCGAATTGGGCGTTGCTCCATTTCTGGGTAAACTCACATCTGCAGGTCTTGATGGTTCAAGCATGATCCTCCTTTCAACATCTGCGATGCCCTTCTGGTGAGTGGCTGGTGGTCTAAAGTGACTACTGTATCCTGAGCGGTGCCCCAAATAAAGGCACCAAATGGACACCTGATGAATCAGTTTACCGGTTTTGCCTTCAAAATCGGTTGGTCTTCTCACACGACTAGTGAAGAAAATGGAGGAAACCATGTTTTCGCCGCTTTTTTAAGACCCAAATGTAGGGGTCCCGTATTTTTTTTCCTCAGCCAACTCTGTTAGTGGATGTAAATACCAAGTGACCAAGAGCGTGTCGGAGTCTTGAAGCAAGGCTGTCTGAACATCATCACGCAGCCTAGCCAGGGCCAGTAGCAAAAATATCAGACAGCCAGGAAGGCGAAAGGTATCACAGGGTTCAAAATCCCGGTCCTAGGTAAGTCGTTTATACGGTAGCTATACACAGGCACCCCTAGTTAGCTAAAGCCCAGATCTGGGCAACTTAACGCTTCAGTAGAATTGGAAGCAACCTTTGTGCTGCGGAGACTGGGCAAAAGTTGATGTTTCTTTGCTATTAAATTACTATATGATATGATACTATATGTAATATGATACTATATGATACTATATGTATGTACTGTATGTAATAAATCTGGGATCGGCACTGGTGGAAGCGTCAACCGCAAGAACTTCGGTGCGGATCAAGCCGGATGAAGCGGGTCCCGGCCCGTGATCCCCGGGACCTCCTTTGAATCGACGGGGGTGGTGTACAGGCACTCCGCTTCTTGGCCTAGGAACGGAATAGGGAGGTGATTTGAGGATAATGATGATGATGATGATGATGATGGTGATGATTATGATGACCATGATGACCATGATGACCATGATGACCATGATGACCATGATGACCATGATGACCATGATGACCATGATGACCACGATGACCATGATGACCATGATGACCACGATGACCATGATGACCATGATGACCATGATGGCTATCATTGCTATGAGTAGTAGTACTGTCATTCTTTTTGTCTTTGGTGTGCATGTTGTCATTATGATGACTATTGTTACAGTATTGTTAGTGCGATCGTTTACTACGAGTTGTTTTCACTGTCATTATCATTATCATTCTGAAGATGAAGGTGTCATGTTTGAAACCACCAACCGTACGGCAATTCGATTAGGGCTGGGAACCAACTGGCCATGTGAGACTCAAAACCCTTCATCAGCAGGTCGAGAGTGCCAGTCTAAGACTTCATCAAGTGCAATTGTGAGCCTTCTTTCTTGTCTTTTCCCTCATCCCCTCACAAGAGTTCAACCCCTTAATCAGCAGTATATCAGTATGTCTATGGAAACTTGGTAAATCCATGTAAGCCCTCAAACGCATACAAAAAGAAAACAACTATGTGCATGTGTGGTGGATCCATCTAAGCCTTAACAAGAAAAGAACATCTACTGCAAGTTCCAGAGTACGTATTAAAATGGGGGATCCCCAAGTCACCATGATTATTTCAATACTAAGCCCTGGTCATCGAGTACTTGAGGGGTACCCTCATGGATTGTATACCTCGAAATAAAGGCCACCTGGACGTCATCCCTGGAGCCTCTGGTGTCTTCAACAACCAAGAGTTCGGATTCACCAAAGTTGACCTTGGCTCGTGAAAACACCCTGCCTGACATGGAAAATATTTTTTGGGAAAAAACAATGGAAATTATCAGTGTTTCCAGTGGAAAACATGTGTTCCACAGGAAATCCATCTGAACAATTGGCTGGTGTTTGATGAATTCCATGCTGATTGCCATGATCTGTTACAGTCCTTACACCCAGCCCATTCTATAAGCATTATTATTGCGGATAATCTTATGGATCTGGTGCACAGGCTCGGCTCGCACCGGAAGGATGAACCTCCGGTCAGATCGTCCAAAAACTCAGGGTTTCCCTGCTAAGACACAAATCATGAAAGGCCCAAAAGGATCCAAAAGGTCCGCCATGCTGAGGAAACACCCAAGTTTTCTTGGTTGCATGCCCCAGACTTTTGTTGGTGTTTTTGTACGTTACTGTTGGTTCCCCAGCTATGCTTGGTACTCATATACATGGGCATGGGAACCCTGCTACCCTGGTGAACATCAAATAGCTGGTAAATGTGTGTTGGTATCTTCATCCCCCCAAAATATGGTATAGTAACAGGTTTGGTTCTACAAGTATCCCATATAATCCCATGAGCAGTAACTTGCAGTTGTTACACCCCCGTCTCATTCCCTTCTTCTCCAAGACGGTCTGTCACCTTTTTTCCACGTTTTTTTCCGTGATGTTTTCTGTGGCGCTCTTCGATATTTTCGAGGTGATGGAGTCTTGGATCAGCCCACCCCCAAATGGTGAGAATATGCTCCTATCGTGGTACCCCCTCAGCCAGGGGCCAGCGGGATTAATCCAGGGTTGACATGTACCTCCGCTGATGGGTTCCTACTTTCGGGCCCCGTCATCACAATCAACTCCAAGTTGAACGGAGCTATTGGTAGCTGTGGTTCATCTAAGCTAGTTGTGAACCCATTGTTGGTGGTTGTAGTTATATTAGGAGTTCTATCCCCATTTCTATATGGAAACCACCGTCCCATTGCTGTTGTTAGTTGTAAGTTCTTGGAGGGTCTGAGTGTCTCTGATCCATGATGCGTCCACTCAGACGTCAACTGCGTCCTTCTCCTCCAACCTCGGGATCGGGCAATCTTTGTTACACTATGTTTGGTCATAGTCATAGCAGTGTTCATATGATGTTCATATGATGTTCATATGAATAATAGATAAACATAGATAAACCATGATAAACTCAAATCTCAGGTCCATCAACAGCTGAGTGGCTGTGTACCAGCTGACCAAAACACGATTGGCCGTGGTCCCTTCCAATCCGAAGGATCCAGGAAAAAGGGCCATGGCCAAAGCACAGCGTTGCAATGCAGCCACCGACTGCGCCAGAAAAATCGGGGTAGTATGGGGTAGTAGAACTGTACTGGAAACCACCAACCTTTTGCCTCATCTTTGATAGAAGACCAACCACAAGGTATCTTTAGACTTACAGCGGGCAGGCTTTGAGTACCCCCTTTTTCATTGGTTTTGCTTGTTTGCTTCAATACGTTCTGTTGTTGTTCATGATTTTCTGGATTCTGCAAGTCCAAAAACCTATATGTTTTTTGTTTCTAATAGTTTCTGGTTAATGCCTTCTTCATCTACTTTCCGCCACGCACATGGCAATAGGAAATCCCACATAAATGGAGGTTTCAATCGGAATATCATCTCTATAAATGGTGGATTTTCCATGAAGTAACATCTATAACCATCTATAATCTAGAAATGCTGGACATGTCTGAAATCATTCAACTCGGAAACTCCTTGAAGGATGGTGGAATTTTCCAGCGACCGACGCCTCAACATCCGCGCTGCGGATGGCGCTGTGTCCCACGCGCGACTCTTTGGCAAAGCTCAGGTAGCTCTGCTGTCGCACGGCATAATCCTGAAGGAGAGATGGTATCCCCCCATGGGAATCAAAATGTCACTTCCCCGTGGGTAATTTTATTGGATTTGCATAAATGGTGTCAGATATTTGGAATTTTGAGAAAAAAAATATACCTAATTTTCCATGGGAACCCGAGATACTTATTGGAATTTGGAATAACTTCAGTCGAATTGCGGTTTTACAAGGGTGACTAATCGCTATCCTGTGATGCATTGTGGGTTTGAGAATTTGGAACATGAGAATCTTAACTCGAGAACAAAATGGATTTGTCTGAAAATGGATTCTCATCAAAATTGCAAACTTGGGATATACCTTATGTTTGGATAAACCCACACCAAAACAAAGTGGCGGAGTGATTGATCAGCGTTGGATTCTGATAAGGCCACAACCAGCAGGAGAACTGGATAATTGCTACCAGCCGCTACCCCACCCCAACCTTCAGGACTTGTTGGTACTCCGCAGAATAGTCTTCCACGTGTGGCGGTGGTGCAAAGCGCCCAAAGCGGGCATCCCCTGTCCGTTGAGAACCCGGGGAACTGAACAGAGCCCAAGAGTTTCACTAGCAACATCCGGAAGCTGATCCAAGACCATCCAAATTGATAGCTTTCCTTCATGTCTTTCATTGTCTTTCCCCTCGATACATCCTTTTTTTGGGGCTCGGTGGGCAGGCCGTACCTGCGCTGGGCGTCTTGAACTTCAGCTGGTAATCACCTTGGAAAGGGTTTCATGGTGGGATGACGTGGAAAATCACCCATTTAGTTCAATAATCTATAAGGATTTATAAGGGATTTCAGAATTTCTCATGGCCATGTTTGATTGCCGGAGGGTAAAGTCAATAGTGGGGATCAGTCATATGTTTGAGGGGTGGAAAATGAAATGTTTTGAAACCACTAACTGAATTATAACATATCATAATGCTTTGGATCATCTGGTAGCAAATCCCCTGATTGCAAATGATGGTTGTTTAGCTTAGAAAAAATCCCCATGAATATAACAGGAGTCAACTGGACACTGCATCTCTGCTGAGTCACCGAAGGTCATTTCCATTAGAATCTCAGTGCTCTCTCCTTTCAGCACCTGTGTATGGGCAATTTCTGCAGCAGCCTGCCCCCAGCATGTAGCCGCATGTCGGCCATCTAAGAAGGTCGGCGCATTGGTGAGGACCACAGAAGGATCCTGGGAAGCCCAAGGTTCAGCATGAAGCGGCGGCGTTTTTGGCTCAAGCCATTGCCGAAGCGAAAGAAATCAGAACGAAAAACCTGCCAGCTTCCACCCAGCCACCGTTTCACTGAGTTGAGCTTCAAACCACCTGAGATGGGGCACGTTTTCCAGTTGTAGCATGGTTTTTGCGCCTTGGCGGTACCTTTGAGGTCCCGGCCACACCACCATGTTAGCGGTGCCACTGTTCGTGCCCTTGAAGTTGAAGCTGGCACGGCTTGGAATCGCATCCACATCTGCCTTCGGAAGGGCTCACAACTTGTGTTGAAGCAGGTGCTTAGACAGTTGCGTCGGCAAGCATAGTTGCCACAATCAAAAACATCAAAAACTAATACCCTTAGATGCTGACTTGGCAGAAGAGTATCCGACAAGCTGAAATCTATCCACCCTTTTTAGGTCTTTTCAAGGTATCTCACCTGTTGGCTGGTGGGCTCGACCCCGAAAAATCTCCGTCAAAGATCTTCAGCGCAGATGTGATTGAAAAAGATTGACCGCAAAAATAAAAGGAGATAGATAAATGAACCAATATATAAACGAAGACATAAATACACAAACAAATAATATGAATTGATAAATAAATTCATAATATAATATATATATGTACATTATATCTCTCTGAAACCACCAAGTATATTGGATTTTGGGGTGCCCTATCTTTGGATACTCCACATGTTTGAGTTTCGCACCTCCCCCAAGCGGAGGGACAGGAGTTCCACAGGGTCTGTCAACACCTTGAAGTCTCCTGTTGCGGCTGAGGTCTCCACTTTGACTCCATTGAGTTTTTGGCCAAGATTTTGTTGAAGGTTTGTTGAAGTACACTTTGCATCTAAATCCTGATGTCACAACAAGCGTTTGCAACAAATTTCCAGATATTCCTTGCGTCCAAGCTTTGGGAGGTAGCCAAATAAACCGATAAACCCATTAATTAATCCACGTGGCTTTGCTCCACACGATTGGAAAGTTTCATACTGAAAATGGCCAAAGGTCTCCATTCCCAGCTACCCAGTCCTTCCCTCTTGTCAAGGTCCACTCCCAGCCAAAGTGCATCCCCAGTGCGGTCCAGCGGCCAAAAAGGCCAAAATGCATCCTGACAGGCAACCGTTTACATGAGAGGACCCCCGAATTTCAACGTGGCACCAAAAGAAACTTAAGGCCATTTCCGCCGAAAAGTCATATTCCAACTCGAAATTTGGGGGGTCCATGTGAATATCTGGCATCACTCTGGAAGTGTTTTCGACCCAAAAAAGAAAGCTCCTCAACTAGATCATCCCGAAGCGATGTTGAATATATGCAACTTCCAAATCCCCAATCTCTAAGTGGACCGTGGACCAGGCAGCGTGTTTCACGCAGCAAAACCCCAGTGCCGCTGCCGCCCAGCATCGATGTTCACACCATTGATCTCAGGAAGCTTCACCTGCGACCCGGGGATGACTTCCGGAAGTGGGCACTCGACACATTTTGCTCTTGGAGCTCTTGGGTTCCAATGATGCGATTTGCATCAGCTGGTAGCCCCCGTAGTCCTCAAATTCTTGTTTGAACTATCAGCCTTTTGTGATTGAGCTTTATCAGCTTTTAACTCAGCCATAGTAACCAAAAAAAATAGCAAAAGAATCTCGTTGACCACCATCTTATAGTATGTCTGTAGGATTCTACAAGGTGACGGTGATGACGCCCAGTTATAACTTGCCGTACAAACATTCAAAATAAATCCATCTAACCGTAGTTAGGCTAGTCATAAACCAACTTATCTAAGTGGGGGGCACCACCTTTTATATCCCATTATATCCGAACGACATCCTCTTGAACTCCGCACGGCATCGCCAGTCTTGTTGCTGATCTCCCCATGGGTTCACCATGGATCACCCCTTAAAAAATCGGCCTCGCAGAGCACCGCCTTCAAGCGGAGTTTCGCTGGGATCACTGAGCTGGTGTCTTTGCACAAGCGACGTTTGGAGCCCTCGGTCAGAAGGATCAAATTCCTGGGCACTGATTTCAGCGGCCACACGTCCCAAAAAAATCAAGATGGAGATGGGGAGATAGAGACAACTGGTAGAGATTTAATGGGATTGAATGAGTGTTCAATGATTTAGTAAAATTAGTTGCTTTTTTCATTGGATTTAGTTCAACTTAGTTCTTGTTTCTATGGCATTTCATGGGATTAATCGGTGTTGAAGGGATTTTATGGAACTACAACCTAACCAGCCTTTTGAATCTCTCAAAGTCTCATGATACCACTTAGATCCACTTAGTGGGCACAGTCTTGTTTCATACAACATGCCGTTGAGCCAATGTCAGTGCACAAGCCCTTGTGGTTTTCCAGCAGCCCAAGAGAACAACAACAGCTGCTGCAGCAACAGGGAAACGCTGAGTTCAACGAACAAATCTCCGCAACTGCAAAGATGTCCTAACATGTCCTAAGAATTTTTCGTGAAAACAACATAAATAAACAATTGTTCAAATTATATATCTGCTGCTGATCCCTTGCCACAAGCGCGCCAGTCTTCCAGCTGCTGATCGTTGCAAGGCTCTCCCCCAGCCCCGAGGCATCCATCAGTTCGGTGACAAGAACTTCAAAGCGCTCCGCCTCCGACTCTCGCTCGCCAATGCCCCTGGATCCACTGGGCGACCGAAAAACTGGGAGAAATATGGAGAAACGCTCTAAGGCTCAACACATCTCAACACCCATCCTGGTTCTTTGCATACTGGTAAACACTAAGAGAAAACACTTGAGATTACTCATCATTTCTTTTTAGAGGATAGACATGTTCTATTATTTCAATTCCACATAACCTCATGACCCGCGCACTATGGTCCAGTTTCAGGAACTTGTAATCTCAACCCTGAATTCATAAATGTTTGATTGGTTTAAAGTGTTACTGTTTGAAAAGCATATTGTCAGTTTATCCACGTTTTGGGGCTACAGTATATAAGCAACATGAAACTCCGCATAGTAATTATCCAAATTGCTGGGTTTTGAATCCTTGTCTTTATTAGTATCCCAACATTTTTGGAGCTTGAATCCCTATGACTTAGCCCTGGAAAATGGACCATTTAACTACTTCGATGACCAATTTTATTTCCATGGCCATCTCCCATAGAAAACACATATAAATTACCCATTCAACACATCAATTCAATCATTCAACCCATTTCTAGTGCTCACTCACCAGATTTCAAGCCAAAAGCTGAGTGAAAACCCACAGGGTTCAATCGCACTATCAAACAGAAAGCTGCTGACTAGTGTTTTTTTCTACAACCTATGGATTTTTAATCATAGCCAGGTCACCGCACATCGGTGCACCAAATCTCCAGGGGCGTCTCGATCGGCACCTTCCGCGCGGCGCGATTCGCTGCGATGACCTCCTCTGAGGCGCGCGCGATCTGCGTGACGTACTCCACACCTGAAGCCAGGGAGGACGGTGATTTTTTGGTTAATTTATGTGTTTGTTTGTTTATACATACATATATATATATATATATAGTGTGTGTGTGTATGTATGTCTGTATGTCTGTATGTCTGTATGTCTGTATGCATGCATGCATGCATGCATGTATGTTTGTATATGCGTACACTGTGTGTGTGTCTCTACTGTCTGCATATGTGTATGTATATATATATATATACATACAACATACAGTACATACAGCAGATATCAGTAGATCCACAAAAAATAGTAAGATTGGCCCCGGTTTGGTCGAACTGACCAAAATTCTGCAACTGTGCCCTGAATTGTTTGCCCTCGCTGCCCAAAGACCCAGGCCATAGGTGGCCCCAGCTCTGAGAGCCATCAAAGATAGGATGCCTTCAGCAGGATGCAATGGCTTACGAGTCAACTGATTGAGTTCCAGATTTGGATCTGTGATCTGAGATCTGTGGCAAGTCTCAAATTTGAAGCCACTGCAGGGTTTGTGTGGCTTCGTCCTAGTCTTTCAATCTCTTTGCAGCAGTGTTTTCTGAAATCCACAATGCAGTCTGGCAACCGTCGCCGCTGCCCACATCGAGGACTTTGCATTCTGGACGTGTCTCCTGTTGTCACGCAGCACAAGAAATGAGAGTCTCCACGGGCAATCGTTCAATCATGTCTAATCCATCTATTGCGATTGCTGATGAGAAAGGACCTGGTGTATGGCATCCTATGGATAATGTTGTGTTCTATTATATCACGAGTATCAAAATGAACAATGCACATTGTCACATTGGAAAGAGATGTCTGCGTGTATTGTCAACTGCAGTTTCACTCTTCCCGGAAACAAGGCCAAGGAACCCATGCAATGAATGGAATAGGAATGAGACTGGAAATCAGTTGCGGAGATACTGTGATAGATATCGCGATTCTAGGCTTTTGCTAAGAGATCTATATGATCTAAGAGTTATCCCAATCTGCATGTATGGAACATCCTGTGTACCGCTGGGTACCTAGCGAGGCATAGCTCACCATTTTGTGGATTGTTATATAATTTGACTGTTTGGATATGGAGGTTTCCTAAAATAGGGCTACCCCCAAATCATACCATTTTATTTTGGGCCTTTCCATGAAATAAACCATCCAGCTATTGTGTACCCGGTGTACTCCCATTTTAGGGTTCCCCCATATAGCCCCGGGCGCTTTGAGTGAGACAACGCAACAGCATCACCTTCACCTTTGCGATTTCCACTTGTAGTGCTTTTTCGTACAACTCATGCCTGCAACGGAATAGGATGGACCAGCAAACTGGCAAACTAATTGAAACCGCAACACAAGGGTGTGCCTGAGATCCATCCTGAAGACCAGATCTGTCAGCAATCAGACTCTGTAAAATCTCAATCTAGCCGAATCTAGCCATCAAGAATTCCATTCTCAGATCTCACTCGGATCTCATACTTAGCAACTCTCTTGCTGTCCCAACATCGCCACCCAATCTTGACCTCGCATCATCTCTGAGCATCTCGAAGTACCACTCAGATAAAGCCATGAAGCCAAAGGGTGGATATAGGCTCTTGGCCTCCAGCGCCCCCAGCCACGACAAGTCCAAGGTACGAGATGGCCTTCGAACTTCTACGAATGGTATCTGACAGAATGGTTTTTACGCTACCACGAAAAAAGGCCCGCCCCAAGCAACTTGTTGGCGTCTAGCTCAACCATCATTGATTTGAACAAACGAAACATCCAGAGGAAACCATGGTTTTTAACCAGGAAATGGATGGAAATGGAAGGATTTCAGCTGTAAAATGTCGTCCAAAAGTCTGGATTTCGCTTCAGATTCAGCCGAGGTGCCCCATCCCATTCCAGCCACACTCTGCTATCGTTGCGCCAAGCACAGAGTTTCGACTCTGCACCGGCCAGCTGCAGACCCCCAGGGATCCACTGTGCGAATCGCAAGGAAGCAGGGCCCTTCGACCTGCCAGTGCCATGGATGTTGGAAAATATTTTAGCAGCGGTGTTCTTGAGCCAAAGGTTGGCGTAGCAACTAGTGAGAACCCTATATCCCGTCACCCCTCCTGTACAGAGGCTGGGATTTTCCTAAGCTGATGTACACTCATTCCAAAGCCTTTGCAGCTTCGGCTCTACCATGAGAGTACTCGAACCCCATGCTTTGCATGTGTCTTTCCATCTCATTCGCAGGTAAACCTTTGGTGCACAAATCAGCTACGTTCTGCTTTGTCGGGATCTTCACCAGTTCGAATTCATGTAGTGCAAGCTTTTCTTGCACCCACAGAAAGCGAGTTTGAACATGCCGTGAGCGGCCTAAGCCCTGACGGTTACATGTTCCCAGCGCAGCGGATTAATCTGTGTGCACTTTAAGTTTTGGTTGTAGGCCCCATCCTCGCAAGATCTCCTGTAGCGACATTCCGATGGAAACTCCTCGAACGATCGAGTAGTATTCCGCTTCACCGGAACTCAAGCTGATCGTGCTCTGAAGAGTGCTCGAGGCCTTCACCGTGTGGCGGCCAAAGGTTGCCACAAGTCCACTTGTTGAGCGCCTTGTAAGAAGACACCCAGCGAAGTCGGAGTCCACGTACATGTGGATCGTGTCAGCAAACTTCTGGCGACCAAACTTCAAAAGTACACGTGGTTTCCCTTTCAGAAATCTCACCAAGCGTTTCAGATCCTGAAAGTCAGATTCTTTGGGCTCATGCATTCTTCTTGATAGGCATTTCACTGCCTCCGCGATGTCAGGTCTGTCCTGTGCCACTCTCATCACCAGAGACCGGAAGAAACTTACACGGTCCGGTGTGATGGTCGGGGTGGTCAACTTCAAGTTGGCCTCCGTGGCTGACATTTTCTCAGATGGTGTCTTGACTGGCTTACAGTTTTCCATTTCTAGATCTCGTACCATCTGGTCAACGTGGCGGGGGTCCGCCTCATAGGATACAGAGCCTTCCTGCTCGTTGTAGGTCACGATTCGATTGAGCACTGCGAACTGCTGATGCCGTTCTCCAGGACCGATCGATCCATCGACCCGCAGATCATATTTGGACCTCAAGGTGTCCTCAAGGTATTTCTGTCCAGCATCATCAGCAAGCACCACGAAGTCATCTCCGTGTACAAGAACTCGAATACCACCGTAACCTTCATGGTAAAAGCAGGATGGCCAAGCTTGATTCTTGGCAAAACCAGCTCGGATGAGAAGTTCTGTATATGATCTTTGCCAGATCGCTGATGCATCGCGTGTTCCATACATGCTCTTAACGAGCTTGCCACAAAACCCTTCTTGTCGATCTCCTTCAGGTAACTGCACGAAGATATCACGCTCTGCCTCTCCATAGAAGTGAGCGCGTGATATGTCAAGAAGACGAACTTTCAGTGCATTGCCAGACTTGGATCGTCTCAAAGTCACCATAAGCGATAGAAGCAATTTCAGCGATTCCAAAGGCGGCATCGAACTGAAGGACGCATAGTCCGGAATGAAGTCAGCATTGCTGGCCCGTTTGATCTCTCTACAGACCAGACGTGACCTGTAGTTGGGGTGTGTTGCATCCCCTTTGTTTCTGTCAATCCATTTCATGGTGATGACCGGTTTTCCAGACTGTTGGGCTTCTGTGAGTGGAACTTTGATATAGATACCCTGTTTGTGTACCCATGCTAGTTCTTCTTGTCGAGCAGCTCTGACCTTGTCAACATCCAAGACAGCACCGGAGTGTGCGTCAAGCACTGGCTCCACGATGGTGTCATCGCTGTCGGGCAGCTGCTTCCAAAACTCCTCCTCTTCATTGATCACAGGTCCAGCATCGGGTACTGGGCCATGTGAAAGTGAGTGTAGTTCTCCATCACATTCCAGTTGGCGCCTAATGGCCTTGAGAATTGCGTGGACAAGCTTTTGGTGGGTATTTCTGGGCAGCTCGGGCTCGTCCATCAACAAGATGTACATGGCGGTGCCAAACTTTGCCTTCTTTGTTTGAACAGCACCCTTGTAGGGTCTGTGCCAGGATTGGAGAGTTCGTGAGCCAGGTAGTTTCTTTCTTCACTAACCCTTCACCTTGGCCATCGGCGGCCTTCATTCCCCAACGGCACATTGGTCCAGTGACCTCATACACCCGTTCATCTGCCCTCAGTCTCTTCACAGCTCTCTCTTCCCACGAAGCGGCCCCTTTAGGGTGCTCATGGTAGAAATACCTTCCAGCATTCATTTGCTGCTCATACGCTGAAACTGCCGTGCGCAGATGTTTGCGACCATCTTTTAGTCTCTGCGCTCGAACTTCAGGTGAAACATTGCCCTTCGCATCCACAATGTTTTGCAGCTTCGAGAATGGCCCACAGGGAGGTGAGCCGCCGAGGAACTCTGGTTTCTCATAGTCAAGCAGTTGAAACAGATCACGAATGTGTTCATCTTTACTCAAGTCCCAGTGAGTTCCATCACCACGCTTTGTCTCCAAGTCAATCGAGAAGCCAGGTGCTAGCCCGACCACTTGGGCTTGTGCAGCCACACGCGGTGGAGAGAAGATCTCAGCAACCTTCCCTTTTGCGATCACATCTTTGAGCAAGGAACACAGATGTAGCATCTCCTGGTTTGTCTCAGGACTTGTTGGTGCAGCGGCAGCACCTTCCGGAACACCAGATGAAGCATCCGGTGCCGGTGGTCCGGCTGACCCTGAAGCCTGAGCTGAAGATTCATTGTAAAGATCTTCAACGTCGACTTGTGAACTCCTTTTCTCTCCTCGGGATTGTTCTTGTTTCTGCCTCTTTGGGCTTCCTTCTCTTTCTTGTTCTCTCTGTCTGAGTTCTCCACGAAAATCGGTGTCGACCAGTGGTTCACCAACAGCCTCACTTGCATCCATTTCCGCATCCAAAGGAACACGGTCTTGCAAGACTGGTTGTTCAACTTCCCCTCCTGGGACAACTGGTGGTGTAGCTTCACCACCTTCTGCCCCACCACCCTCAGGCGGTGCAGCCGCGCCTCTTGGGCGCCTGCCTTGTGCAACTCTCTCTCTCGCTCTTTTGATCCTTTCTTGACCTTCTGGAGTCTTGTCAAGTTCGATCTGGATTATTTGTCTGCACTCAGCATTGTGAGCTCGGCTTGGCATCTCAAGTATTGCTGCTTCACATCCAGGACACAAAGGTGTGTGCCCATGCTTTTCCAAGTCATTCTTGGTGACATAGAGGTTCCTTGGGATCACTTCTTGCACTGCAGGCCTTTCACGAGGCGCTGCAACATCGGGAAGGGCGATCCTCAGTCCACCATGTTCTCGTTCTTGCAACCTCCAAGGAAGGCCACGTAGCGAGTCAAACTGATCATGTTTGAACTGATCGTCAGGTGGGCGTCGATGGATCGAGTTCCCCTTCATGATTCCACGTTCCGTCATGACAAAGACGTCTGAATCTCTGTTTCCAGTTCCAACGTACATCCCAATGGATACCCTTGGAGCAAGGTCATTTCTCTTGCCCCCACGATTGGCCCTCGGCCTATACAGGATGCTTTCACCGAACCTCACAAGCGGAATCCGCCATTTTCGTCCATAGGTCCGCTCAAAAGCGGTCTTTCCATCAGTACCTACTCGGTATCTCGTCAAGAGAAAGGCAGCATGCCGCGGGAGCCAAACCAAAAGTGGATGGCCCGGATCTACCTTCCTTTCCAGCTTGAACTCCAGGTCGCTGAGGAGAGCACGACATTGTCGTTTTATCTCTCGCACTCCCACTTCGATAAACCCATTGGCTTGATGGTCTTCTACTGGGGTTTCCACCAAGTGCACTTCGATGTGGGTCTTTATCTCCTTAACCTTCTGTTTAAGGGATACCAAAGGAGGGTTCACCGTCAGACTTAAGGATTACCTTATTAAAACCAGCATCATCCAAAACTCCCCCAAGCCACGCGATTGCGAACGCATCCGCCCCTTTTCCCGGGAGAACGCTCGCCCAAAATCTCTTGGTCTTGTGGCACTTCACCACAATGCTCGGAAGGGTCGCCTCATCCGCAACCTGGTCCTGGTTCATATAGAAGTAGTCCAGGCTCAGCGTGGGCAACTGCGTTTCTGGCTCATCAAGTTCCTTAGGCACATGGCGATCAGCAGTCACACGTGCCCTTTTGCAGTGCAAGCACCAGCTCCGATGGACAACATGTCCAGTGCTTTCATGTTCGTCAACTTCAGCTTGGGATGGTTGATGTGGTTCTTTCTTCACAATGGCTTTCCTCTGTTCTTCACCGATTTCCAAATCAACTTCATCTTCAAAGGCATCTGCTCCGGCTGAAGCAGCTGGAACATCGCCTGAGGACCCTGCTCCGGCCGAAGCGGCTGAAACATCGCCTCCATCTTCCATGGCATCGGCTCCGGCTGAAACAGCTGGATCCTCGCCAACAGCGTTGATTTGTGGTCTTACTCCTCTTGAGGATGCCCCTGAAAAGGTGACACCCAATAGTCCAACACATAGATGCCTCGGCGATTGTGCACAATGGGCATTGAATCGCCATAATCTCGGATCAGATCTTTCATGGCCTTTGAATAGGCCCGTCCCGCAGGAGTGTTTCTTGGGATCAATCTCCCCGAAGATGGTCCAAGGGCGATGTGGTAGTTCTTGGCGATCTCGGAACCTGAAAGAAGTGGCCGATGCACATCTGCAACTCGGCAATCGATTGGGATCTTGTTGCCAGATTCGTCGTATCCCACCAGCTTCACACTTCCCTGATCTTCGACGGGTTCCGCATTGGCTGCCTTGTAGCTTGCTCCATTGGACTCGCTCCTCGGGTAGTCCTTGGCGAAGTCAAGTGGTACTGCAGTGATGGCAGCACCGGTGTCGATGTTCAACTCTGCTCGTTCCCATTTTCGCCAGTCGTCAGAGGCCCCCAAGCTGTAGACTGCAGCAGGAGCCGATCCAGCTCCACCATCGGGGTCTCCTCTGCCTGGTCGGTCTCGAGGCTCATCAGGCTCTTCGATGTAGACCTCTTCCATTTCATCATCATCTTCATCTGCGTTCACTTCAGTGTTTTCCTTCAGAACCAAGGCTGGTCGGTTCTTCCTCGCCATCTTGCGCGCCACATTGCGGTTGCGATTCTTCTTCACCCTGTACCCAACGCTTCGAACACGCTTGGTCATGGGTTTCTTCTTGGGGTCCTTCTGCAGCAACTTGGCCTCGTCGTCCGGGAACTGCCTCAAGGTTTCCCGCTCTTCCGCTGAAAACTCTATCACTGTGCTCTGACCAGCTTTGCCCACAACCACCGTCTCGATGCCCGCATCCAAGTTGTCTTCATCCTCGATTCTCACTATGCCTTCTGGATTTTCTGGGTTGTCAAAGCGTTCATGCCATTCTTTGTCAAAAAAAAAAAAAGGCTGCGGCCGGGAGTGAAACGCTAAAAACAGAGTAAACGCGGAAGGAAGACGAAAGGGGGCAACTCAAGGCAAAAATCAAGGGCAGGCGAACCTAAAAAAAAAACGGCCCCCCCGAGGGAGGAGGGAGGGCGAAACGTGAAACAGGACGGCAGAAAGAACGGAGGAGAACAAGAGGAACACAGGGACCAAGTTCCTTCTACTTAGACAAACGGGGAGCGGGAAAGACGCAACTAACATAAGAGAAAAAAATTAATGAACACAAACGCGGGAAACGGGTTACAGGTGGGCCGGGGTTAAGCAGTAAACTTACGTTTGTAAGCTCTAATTTTCTTTATCGTGGGTGGTGTCTAATCTTTCAGCCGCACGTGCCTTGACTCCTCCTCGTCGGTGGACGATTGCACGTCTTCTCAAACGTTCATTTCTCCAGGCCACATTGTGTGCAACGCCTTTGGCAATCTCGGCATGGTATCTCGAGTCGTGGAAAGAAGGATCGCTGATGTTCTGCTTTGTGATGTGCGGTGCCTTGACAGATCTAGTCCTCAAAGCCGCTAACATCGCATCTGCCTGGCCATCTCCTGAACCAGGATCTTCTTCTTGGACTTTGCGGATTTGTGAACTCAGCGCAGCCTTCAGCATCTGGACAAGTCGAGAACCTGAAGTCGAAGCTGCCGATGATGCCTTGACAGGTGGTGTGGCTTCACCTGAGAGCTTTGCCATCCCGGTGGTGGACATGGCGGAGTCTTGGGTGAAGCTACTTGGCTTTGCCATCCTGGTGGTGGTCCTGGTGGAGTCTTGGGCGAGGCTATCGGCTGTTGTGGAGGTGATGCAGGCCATGCTATAGGTGTCGGGGGTGTCTTTGGCAAAGGTGTAGAGCTACGAAGAAGTTCTTCTGGAGTCTGTGGCCCATGCCTCAACCTTCTCCTTGGTGGTGGTGTCATCGAAGTCATTCGAAAGCGTCGGAGTGCTGACTCCGGAGTGACTGGCCCTGATCTGCTTGCTTTGCCTCTCTTTGGTGCTGAGCTCTTTGGACTTCTGCCCCTCTTGGGTCTTCCCTGTGGCGTTCGAGGTGCCTTGGAAGACGCGGACTTGGATGTAGTGGTCTCGTGCTCGGTGACCTCCTCCAGTCGAAGCGACCGAAGGGGTCTTGAGCCACTCGATCCACTCGGTCCATCATAGTCGGGGTCGTCCCACTCTTCAGGCCATGACGCACGTGGGTGAGGCAAAGAAAACCACCTTCTGCGACTTGTCGAGGCTTCCGACTCCTCGGACTCGGGATCGACCTGGAAACTTTCGTCGTCATCCTCGTCATGTGGTGGCCCACCAACACCATAGAGCGTTAAACCATTTGCTGCTTGTTGACCATCGTCGCCATCAGCTGCGTCCCAGTCTTCTGCTTCTGGTTCACCTTGTTCGACATTGTTCACAGATTTGCCTCCTTTGGGCTTCTGCTTGTGCTTTCCGGGGCTGCCTTTGCCCTTGCCCTTGTCCTTATTCTGATTGCTGTTGCCTTTGCCACCCGTCCCCTTATGTTTGGGGCCTCCAGGTGCCCAGCAATCTGCCCGCAGATGTCCTGGGCGTCCGCAGTTGTGACATGTTCTCTTCTCAGCTGTTGCATTTCCCTTTCCAGGTTTTCCTCCAGCTCCCTTCTTGCCCTTACCTTTTCCCTTCGCATCTTTTCCAAAGCTTCCGACATCTATAGGATCGTCCCCACGGCCATGTGCGTCGTAGGGCTGGCTATTCACCACCTTGATCTTGTTGCCGGTGGCATGTTCCACATAGGACTGGATCTCGGACAGCATGGACTCGAACGTCTTGAAGCGATCTCGATTGAGAACGAGATGACGCTCGAGCTCTGCCGGCACCAATCGTTCAATCACGTTGATCTTGATGTCTTCTGCCAACATCGTTCGGTTGCCAGATGCGTCTTTGCGACGTTCATAAAGTCTGATGCTGTCAAGAAGCTTCTCCAGGTTGGACGGCAAATCTTCCATCTTGGATCGAGCCGGTGACAAGATTGCATTGAGGAGAGCGCGTTTGCGACCACCAGTGGATGGGTCGTACCTCCGCGTGAGCTTTCTCCAGCTTTCGATGCCGCATTCCCCGGTGTTCAGCACGATGTCAAAGGGCTCACGCTCTGTCAGCATTAGCAGCGCATCCCAAAGCTCGCGTCTCAATTCACTGATGTTCGACACCTGGTCAATGGCATCTGCTTGACTCCCAAAAGCCTTGTCGATGTCATCTGCAGTGATTGCATGATCGCAATCTTCGGCCCAAACCAGAATCTCACGAAGGTCTTTGCGAACACTTGCAAGATAGGAGGACGTCTTGATTTTCCATGACAAGAATCTTTCGGCTGTCCCATCAAACTTGTCGGGCTTGCCAAGGCCCTTGTTGTCGACCAACCGGACTTGTTCTTTCGATCTAAGGGCGTCCACAAGCTCCTTTTGTGACTGCACCAACTGTGCCAGTGCACTGCCAGGTCCAGCTGAAGCAGCCGAACCGGCACCAAAAGAAGCGACCTGTGCTGTCAGTTCAGCTTCTCGGCCTCTTAGTCGATTGACCTCGGTCTGTAGTTCCTGGAGCGACTGGAGGACCTGTGCCGCTTGTTGTTGGTCCATTGCTAAGACCCTGGAGCGTATCGCTCCGCTACCATGAACGGAGAATATGCAACTCGCTATTTTAGCAGCGGTGTTCTTGAGCCAAAGGTTGGCGTAGCAACTAGTGAGAACCCTATATCCCGTCACCAATATGTGGATATTCATAATCAATTAGACATATTGTATATCTATATCATGCATGTATACATATATATACATAGATAGATACATATCATGTAAATCATATACTGTACATCATATACATCATATACATTGATTTCTTGGATAATTCTCTAGGCTTAGCTTCCGGAAACCCCACCTGGGCAGCTCGAAACGACACTCGAAGACACAGGCGTTGGCCGCGACCTTCGACGGCCGTGCCGAGAAGGCCAGGCTTTTGGGGCCGTCCAGCGCCAGGCTGGGACACGCCAGGTCCTCGGGCCAAAAATCGGAAGTTCCAATGGATATCATATATTATATATATTTATATATATATATATATACCCTCTGGTAATTTAACATAGCTATTGAAAATGGCCAGTTATAGTTGGTTTTCCCATTAAAAATGGTGATTTTCCATAGTTATGTTAGTTTACCAGAGGGTATCAGTGGGAAAGATATGGTAATCTATATCTATATATCAATATCAATATCATATATATATATATACAGTTTTAGTCGAAAATCTATATGTCAATGGGAACTTCAGGATCCTAAAATGGAGGTACTGTACTATATAAAACCCATATTTTCTGGGGATATTCTCTTACATAGGCCTGACAAATAGGCCTTATAGTAGGTACCTCCAATTTAGATTCCTGAAACGGCCATTGAATATTATATATATATATATGATATCTATATATATATATTACAGTATGTTATATATATATATATATGGGACCTATATTTGGAGATACTCTTTAAAACATGATCATATATCGTTTTGTAGAAATTGAAGATATGGAAATATGATGTAATATGTGTATATATATATATAGTCTTACTGGCACATTGCCATGAATCATAAAATAAACGGACGATCAACAACAAATGGCGACTACATAATCCATTATTTGCGGGAGAAGTGGGGATTGTGAGGGGCTTTATAATGGATAGAAATAGGCATGCCAACAAATAGGCGGATCCCGAAGTGGGGACGCAATGGACTAAAGTGAGAATGTATCCAAGAAAATCTGAAGTTCCAAGAAAAAGCGAATCTTCTCATGTCACTGTAATGCTCCTGTACTGTCAAAGAAGTGCTTTTGCCGTTCCTCACGGCAGGTTCAGAGGACGTCGGGGATATAAGTTGACGAGTTGACGAGCTGAGGCCCACCCAGGGTGCAGATCAAGCATCGTAGTCAAAGGCTTGGACGAAGTCGGTCAAAATCTTTGGCTGAAGCGAGGTGGCATGTGGCTGCTCCCCAACTCCAACCTAGAGAAGATCCAGGTTTTAAGCCCCTTGGCAGGAAATGAAGATGAGCGAAATCATCGAGAAATATCACTTGTGCCAGGGTGGACCCCAAACTGCCCAGAACCAGAGGTGAAAACATCCAGATAGCTGAAACAATCACCTGCTCTGGCAACCTATATAAGGGCAATTCATGGCATACTGGCGCCACCCAAGAGATTGTAGACGCAAACAATGACTCAGACAATAAGCGGTTGATTGAATCTGGACAAATTCAGACAAATTCTGAACTGGAATTAAACCATTTTTGTGACACGTTCCCTTTTCTAGCCATCAATATCCATCAATATTCTGGTTTCTCCGAAAATCAGGCATCCCTAAATTTCATGGTTAATCACTATATTTCTCCGAAAATCGCACACCTCTAAGTGTTCAACCACCATTTTCCCCATGAAAATCGCTATTTTGGAGCATGCACCATCCTAAAAACATGGCCGGGTGACCCGCAAGGGGCCCGTGGCCAGCCCGCGAAAGCGCGCATCCATAGCGGACAGATCCAGGCCTTGTGTCTCTCCAAGGCCAGCGTCAGCCAGGGCTAAGGAGATGCTTAACCTGGAGGGCACCACACCTGGGCGCTGGGGCATGGCCTAGGGGAGCTGTGGCATATCACAAATTTGAGGGATTATGTCGTACTGTATATGTAATTATATATATATATTTATTTATTTATTTATATATTTACTTATTTATTTATTTATCTATTTATTTATCTATTTATTTATGTGTTTATTTATGTATTTATACATGTGTGTGTGTGTGCCATGGTCAAGGCATGATATTCATATGACATATGGATTATGGCATGGTCATCGGTTCCATACTGAGCATCCCATGAATGGATTGATGACAATCCACAGATATAGCTAATTTGCCCAGGGTTCAAAATTCAGACCATGGTCATGGTCACATGGTCACATGTTCATATATATATATATATAGTATTACATATGTATATATATATATAATATATATTATGATATGTATGTTATGTACATATTCCCTGCCAGATCCACTTTTTGCAGTTCCAACTTTCCTGACCCCAGCCTCCCATCCCTCAAAACCTGAGGGAGCAGCAGACGCGGCCAAAACGCGGCGCAGGGCCAGAAGAGGAGACCAGCCTGGAAATAGCCAGGCCTGTGAAACCCCTGTCCCTCAGGAATACGTCTGATTTAGATTACAAGCCCTCAACTTAGACCCCTGAATTTTAGCCGCCGTGTCTTTTCCTTGGCATGTAATGTCACTAGTCCTTGCATTCCTACATCTCCTTGTTGGACTCCGTTGGCGATTTATCTAAATTGCTATTACTGCAATAATTGAAAGTGAATGCACTAGTTTAATGAATGACAGAAAAAATGAAGAAACACCGAAAGACCGTTGTATTTTAACTCATATGGAGAACCACATATGAAGAAACACATTAATATGGCGACTGATTATGCTGTCCGAGCTCCAATGCCTGGAGATTGTGGAACGATATAACACGTCGTTCAAGGACTCGCTGCACCAAAAATGAGTTTCGGCTCCGACAATTTGGGACCCCGAGATTCTTCAATATGCTAAAATTTCCCCAAATGCCCCTCTTGGATCATTTGGGGTATTTTAAGGTATTTGCTATTTGGAGACCAAACCATGAACCCTCTGGCAATCAAGCGTGGCCGGAAATCACTCCTTTAGTTCGATGAATTTCCCAGCTACACAGCTCCATTTAGTTCAGGGATTTCCCTGGTGGAAAAATATTTGACAACCAAACAGCAATTCCATGTGAATCCATTGATCACCATTAGTCACCATGAATCACTATCAACCATTAACATTCAGGGTTCGTTCTTGATCATCAACTCGGTCCCCATGTTTGATCTTCATGACCATTAATCACCATTACCCTCTGGTAAACATACAAAAAACTATGGAAAATCACCATTTTTCATGGGAAAGTCCACTATTTCTATGGCCATGTTCAATAGCTATGTAAACGTTTACCAGAGGGTAACTCATTAATATCACTATCAACCACATTCATATCACGGATGTCCTGGTGATCGCCAGAAAATCCATCATATTACCTATGAAAAAAATGGTGAATAATAACCACAATTGTGACTGATTGTTCACCACTAATCTCATTTTTTTTGTAATATTAGCGTAATCGCCATTAGCTTTATCCGCATTCTCAATCTCAATCATCATGTTTTAAGAAAAATAAGAATTAATCGTTATTATTCGGTAATCCATATTCTTAATCGCCATTCACTTCACGGATAGAAACCATCCACCAAGCCACCCCATTTATGTTGCTTGAATCAAAAGATGTTTCTGTTGCAGATAAACCAGTCTTAACCCCTCTAGTGGCGTTTTTTTTTTAATGCGCCATTATTGTTTAACCCCTCTAGTGAACCAACTTAACCCCTCTAGTGTTTTTTCAATGACCATTCATATTCAAGTGAATCATGATGAACTTAATCCCCATTCTTAATCATTAATCCCATTAGGCAGTAATCTTATAATCTGAATCACTAATGAATAACAAGTGAATCAGTATTAACCACTAGCAATTTATTAGCAATTGAATGACTATTGAATCATTGTTGATAAACAATAAATATTGATCCACAATTAACTTAACCTTCAAAAAACAGTGAATCAGTAGTAACCACAAATACTTCGTCAACCACTAATCATGAATCATGAATTATTGCTATCCATTAATCATTGAAACATTGCTAACCACTATATATTCATGTATTAACTCCGCAATGGTTTACTATGAATATGAATCATTTATTAACCACTGAATCATTATTAACAATTAACCCTTAATCATAAATCATGATAATTAAAAATGATTTACCAAGAAACTTCAATAATAAATCATTGTTAACCACTAGTATATCAAGTGTTGGCATTGTTAACCATTGAACATTAGTCAGTGAATCATTACCATTAACCATTTATTAATATAGATGGTTGCTAATATTAATGTTTGCCATATTAACCATATTAACCACATTAACCATATTAACCAAAATCATAAACCATTCATCAATAATGTCATTAATCATTACCATATCCAAAAGATCAGCAACCGCGCCTAGCACGCCTAGGCCATGCCATCGATCCAGCACCACCAGACCACCCAGATGCGGCGGAGGATCGCAGGACGACACCACCCGGCAACGCGCCAACTGCGGCCCAAAAATGCCCAAAATCGTGGGGAAAAGCGGTGGTTTCACCAAGGAAAGTGAAGATTTAGCCCTGGTAAACGTTTACATAGCTATTGAACATGGCCATAGAAATAGTGGATTTTCCCATTAAAAATGGTGATTTTCCATAGTTATGTTAAATTACCAGAGGGTAACCAACTAAAATTATGGGTGTATTATGTTTTCTCGGATTTCACGAAGAAAAATATGGTCGTTTCACGCAATTGAAGCAACAAAACTGGCAGGTCTTATGGAATTGAACCATCAAAAATGCTGAAGACTGGTAGTTTATCCATCAAAACGGGGAATTTAACTAATGAATTAGATATGTAGTTGGGAAATGGGATATGATATGGGATATATATATATATATTATAACATAATATATATATATATAATTATATATGTAATTATATATATAATTATATATATAATTATATATATATATGTAATCAAGTTGGTATGATATTTGGGTGTGTCCGAAAGTGGGAGACATCCCAAGTTGTTGCTATTTCCATTGGGAAAATGACGATCAATCATCAAATTCGGAGATACCCATTTTGCAGGCAAACCCATTTGGGATCCCCAGTCACTCAAGGATCCTGTTGCCTCAAATCCAAGCACCTCCTTGAAAAAAAGATGACAACAATGATTTCATTTTAAGAAGTTGGTTGTTTTCAATCCATGGGGGTACCCCTAGTTATCATCCATTTTAGATTGGGATTTTCCTTATTTCAACCATCCATTGTAAGAAAAGTAGCAATAAAAATTGAAGAGTCGATCATCAATGTCAAGCCCATTTCCCGCCTCGTCGGGCCCCAGATTTCTCTTGAGCACCTGGCAATTTCTTGGGGAAAACGGATACATATAGGTTCCATACGGCTGGGGGTCCCCCAAGAACTGGTTAGTTTACAGTTGATCATGGAAAATCCTAGTAAAATGGATTTTGGGGTTGCCCCTATTTTAGGAAATCTCCACATCTGTTCCTAGAACCAGTGATGAAAATTCTCCATCCCTGGGCACCCCACACCTCGCAAGCAGCATGGGCGACATCTTCCAAAGGTTCCCAAATCACTACTTTTCCAGGTGCTTCCATGGCGCGCACAGCTGCCACAGCTGACACACCTCGATTTTTGACTTCCAGTCCAAGTTGGAGGAGTTTCAACACATCATCTGCACAAAAAGCTGCTAGTCTGATCCATGTGTTCGTTGTATCATGTTGTATCGTGGGCCGTTTTCCAGTTGTGTGCAAGTCACCTTGTCCGCCAAGGACCAGAACATCCTTGCAGCCTTTTGCTGCAGCGGAAGTTTCCACCGCAATGGCGCTCAAGAGGGAAGATAGGCTACCTGGTCCTGGCGATGCAACGCCAGAAGATCAGGCATCCAAGATGTGCTGCAGCTATCTGCAGCTGCTATAGGGTTAGTGAATATTCCTCAATTGTAAGAAATGTGCATTCTGCGCCTAGAAAGGGCCTTGACCGTCTCTTTCTGCCCTCTCTGAACAGCCTCTGGGAAAGTAACAACATCTCAGCCAACATGCTGCTGCAATTCACATGAAGCCACCAGTTTCTTTCACTTTGATAAAAATCCAAGTTCTTCGGTCTATCCCCTGGTAAACATAGAAAAAACTATGGAAGATCACCATCTTTAATAGCTAATTCAACTATATATATATATACATATCTATATATATATAATTATATATTTATGGGCCATTTTCAATAGCTATGTTTGTTATTACAAGAGGCTAGGTGCCCCATCATGCGGCGGCGCCTTTTTGAGCCAACTCCTTGGCGCGCGCCGGAAGCGCGTCCAACTCAGCCATGCGTTGGCTCTGCTCCAATAGCCTGATGGAAATCCATTGCTACATAGCATGGCTGATAGCTATTGATAGCTATTGATAGCTATTGATAGCTATTGATAGGTAATGATAGGTTATGATGATATCCTAATATCATACCATATCATTCTCATATATGATTATAATTGATTATATATGTCCTTATAGAATATATAGACTTCTCAGCTTCGATGATGTGGAATCACGAAATGCCTAAAGATAAAAGCTTCTTAGTCTTCATGTGTCTCTCACTGCCATGATTATAGAATATGAGAAATCTTTGTGTGTCACTGACATATCGTTTATAGATACAAGTACAATATCATATGTAAATAAATATACGTAAAATAAATTATGATGTTCTGGATATCTATGATGTCGTCTGCGCGTGTGTGTCTGTACATGTCTGTACTATATATCGAACAAATGTGCCTGCCAGGGCCCTCCTTGCTCCAAAGATCAGGATCTTGAAATGCACCTGGCTTGCCGCTGTCAGAGCTGAGAGGTGTTGGAACCAGCAGGGAAAAGAAATACAGTTCTGACAGTAAAGGATATGTCACCAAGAAGTGAAGATGCAAAAAGATCTTTCAAACAAATGCTGCGTTTGCAGATGTTCCAATTCCAACATATTCCCACTATCTGGCAAAAGTGGGGATGGTTCATCATTGGGTTTACCATGGTTTACCTCATTATTCAGCAACCATGAAATCTTAAGATGTCCATCCATTTCCAGCATATCCACCAGAAAAAGAACTGGTCTACCAGTCGGCCACCTGCCGCATCACCCAGCAGTTTCCGCAGCGCCCCCTCAGGGTCTCCACCTGCTGTGAAGGTCAGGATGTATCTCAATCGTTTGAAAGAAAAACCATGGGTTCTCCTATCCAAGCTTGATTCGAAGGGCTTTTCCTTGAAAACCCATGGGTTTCTACTTTCTACGATCCAAAATTGGGTCGTTTCTCAAAATGAGGCTGAACACATTTAACCCCAAGCTGAGATTCATTGTCCATCACATTGACATGCTGTCGACATGCTGGCGGCTAAGCTAATTCAGGCTTCTCAGCTTCCTCAAGAAATGTGACCAGAATTACCAACTTTCTCTGAACATCTCTGAACTGTTTCTGATGATGTGGGCATGGATCAACCCCTATTATGCCACATTTGGGGGAATGAAAACATCCATCTACCAGATATTTTGGTGTTCACCATGGGTACAGTGCAGGGTAAAGGGCGAGAAATGGGAGGTGCAAACCATCCCAACTTGAGGTTTCTTCTTGAGTTTACCACATCAACTGTCGTTTCTATTCCTTGCTGGCTGCCATGCGTTTGCCCCAGTGCATGCCTTGACTCAGCACCATCTGCGTTTCAGGTAGAGCATCTGGCCTCAGAGAGGGCTTCACTAATGTCAACCGCTGATTCATAAACCATACTAAACCATACTAAACCCTGGTTTATTAATTAAGGGATTACCCACCAAACCGTGATAAGGTGCTACAGTAAGATGGTACCCTCACCTCGATTAAACAGGCCGGGGGGGGGATTGTTAGTTCAGGGTTTACATTACAGTAATTCGTAATATTTGTTCAGCATACTTTGGGAGAATTGCTTCTGGACTTTGCCCGTACACTCTTGCGAGTCGGAACGGGTTTTTGCATCTTTTGGCAATTCATATCTCGAGTATCTCCTTCCATTCTTGCTACACCCATACGCCCAAGTCCTTGCAATGTTTGCGTTTGACAGCTATTCCCAATCAAAACGCTCGCCACGACCCCTGTCCCGGCACAGACCTTGCAAAACCCCTTTCCCCATTGGAAACGCTAGCTTTAACAAGCCTTGACCAAACTATCATGGTTCTATTATGTTCTATTCGTTTTTGATCGAATCCCATCGGAACGCCGGTTTCCAACGGGCCTTTTTTCGTGGGCACTGTTGACGCCCACAAACAAAAACGCGAAGCAGGCCCTTTTCCTAGTTTGTATACTGCAGGATGGGTTCTGATAAAGGAAAAAAAACGAGGTCCAAAACGAGGTCAAAACGAGGTACGGAAAAAGCCCCGCATCTACACACATGGACTTTGGCCCGCAAGCCGCAAACCTGCCCTTCCTTGGATCACTGGTAGCGAAACAATGACAATTTGCAGAATTCCAGCACACCGCCATGGCAGTGTAGAGATGATAATCCCAGCGTTGTGTAGAAGTACCCGGAAACAGCAACAGCAGCAGCCGTCGAACCAGCAGCCGCAGCAACCGCAAGACGCCAGTAGCTGCAGAACCCAACAGCAACCATCCCAAACACAATGAGAACGCAACTAGCAAGATTAAAGCACTATGCTAATAGTAAAACAACGCCCTACCCCAAACACAACCTAAACGCCGCATCGCCACTTTAGGTCTACATGAGATAGTAAAACAGCAACCTACCCTAAACACAAGCTAAACGCCGCATCGCCACGACTTCCACAAAAGCCTTCCCCCAAGCTAATTTCAAGATTTTTGGGATTTCGCCACGACTTGGGCAGTTGGGAGTACAACTTCTGAATGCTGCCCCATTTGCTCCCATCAACTGCGATCTTGGCACCCCCTGCCGGGACATGGGCAGTTCTGGGGCCCCGATCAAAATAGCCTGTGGATGCTACAACGCAACCTATATCTCGGACATGGTTGCAAGTCAAATTTATGAATAGATCTAATAAGTGGGTAAATCACATCAAATATCTTTTAAATGATGTTTTTGCAATTATCCTTAAACAATTTGTATCACGGCAAATCTTAAATCATAGGTTTTAACCCATTCCCCAAATATCGTGGAGCACCTGGAGTGGTCCACTCCGCCAGGGAACGTGATCGGCGCCCTCAAGAGCTCTGGCCGCATGGTGACCGCCCGGCGCATCAAGAGCTCTTTGCAGCGGTCAAAGGCCTAGCGCCATGGTTTGGGCCATCAATGGCCATCAATTTCAAGTTGTTTACCTTTTAATTGACCTTTTATGTTTTTTTCAAATGAAGTTCTGGGATCCACAAGCCATGATCTGAATGATCTGCTGATATCCTCCATTTCTGCGGTCTACTAACATATCCCATGAGAAATCTCCACCAGCCGCCTCCCGTGCTGCATGCCGCAGCTGCTCCTCCTGTTGCTTCAGCTCTTGCCAGCTTTTGCCTCTCTGCAGCTGCCATGCCTCCACCAAGTTGGCTCATCCCCCAATTATGCCATGATGGTTTTATGGGTGAAAATCATACGGTTAGTTTTATGGGGCAAAAGTATGACTTTTTCCTGGAAAACGATGTTTTTGTTCTTTTGGTACTCTATTTTCAGACAAGTTCTGTTTTTTGGCAGTATTGGGCAATGGAAGCAGATGTCTGAACGTAAATCACATAGATGTTGGATGCATTACCCTGCCGTGTTCAATTCAAATTATGTTGGGTTTTGTCTAGATCTGGGTATACGGTATACAATGGTAAACACATCAGTCCTGATCCTTGATTTATTTTTCCCGCCCAAAATAATCCAGTTCCGGCTTTTTGGCTATCCCCCATATTTTTTGGGGGTTCCATTTTTTTCAGGTAATTCACCTAAAAAGTCCAGCTAGGTATCGGGGTAGTTCCCCTTCCTCTGTGTGTTTGTGTGTCATTTGGGTGGGCTATCCACCATTTCGGAAGCCGGCTTCGCCGCCGCGTCGCTGCGCACTGCCTCCAGGCTGGCTTCGACAAAGTCTTGATGCCTTTCCTGCGCATCCAGAAAGGCCTTCAGCGCTTCATCGCCGTCCTGGGCCTGGGTGAGCCAAAACGAATGGATATGAGGATGGGGAGGATAATGCAACCATCGTAGGATAGGAAGAACCAATGGGAATATATCATGTTTGGTGGCCATGGTTGGATATAATGGGATAATATGGGATATAAATCGACATCAAACCATTATCATCGCCCAACTTAGTTTGACCCTGAGAGTCGCCCATCAAGTAGCCACTTGCGATCATCATCCCAGGAAATAAGAAATAAAAGCTCGTGAAAGTTGGAATCATCCCAGGCATGTTCAAGGATCTTTGAAACCATGACCATGATACCTTGCACATGTTTTTCAGTTCGCTGGTTAGACTAACGCGTGTCCCTCTTTATGGCAAAAAAAAACGAAGTATTAAAGTACGGTTACCGTGACATAAAGCAACCATTCAAGACAAACCAGACAAAGCCAGAAGCCAACATCCCAGCTGGTCCCAGCTGGTCCCAGCTGCTTCGGCTTTGGCCACGGGCACCTGGAATAGGACCTGGCCGGGTGTTGGGGAGGATTTGAGACATATCTGAAAAACATGGTACATGCATATATATATATACATATATATATATATATATGTATACATATATATGTATGTATGTATGTATGTATGCATGGATGGATGGATGGATGTATGCATGCATGCATGCATGTGTGCATGTGTGCATGTGTGCATGTGTGCATGTGTGCATGTGTGCATGTGTGCATGTGTGGATGTGTGGATGTGTGGATGTGTGGATGTGTGTATGTGTGTATGTATGTATGTATGTATGTATGTATGTATGTATGTATGTATGTATGTGTGTATGTATGTATGTATGTATGTATGTACGTACGTACGTAGGTAGGTAGGTAGGTAGGTAGGTATGTATGTATGTACGTACTGTATGTATGTATGTACGTACTGTATGTATGTATGTATGTATGTATGTATGTATGTATGTATGTATGTATGTATGTATGTATGTATGTATGTATGTATGTATGTATGTATGTATGTATGTATGTATGTATGTATGTATGTATGTATGTATGTATGTATGTATGTATGTATGTATGTATGTATGTATGTATGTATGTATGTATGTATGTTATGTAATGTAATGTAATGTATGTATGTATGTACGTCTGTAAGTATGTAATGCATGTAATGCATGTAATGTATGTAATGTATGTACTGTATGTACGTATGTACGTATGTACGTCTGTACGTCTGTACGTCTGTACGTCTGTACGTCTGTACGTCTGTACGTCTGTACGTCTGTATGTCTGCATGTCTGCATGTCTGTATGTCTGTATGTCTGTATGTCTGTATGTCTGTACGTCTGTACGTCTGTACGTCTGTACGTCTGTACGTCTGTACGTCTGTACGTCTGTACGTCTGTATGCCTGTGTCTGTATGTATGTATGTATGCATGCATGCATGGATGGATGGATGTATGTCTGTCTGTCTGTCTGCATGCATGCATGCATGCATGTATGTATGTATGTATGTATTTATGCATGCATGTATGTACTGTATGTATGTATATTTGTTTCTCAGACGCATGTCGTGCATCAGGCCATGTTTTCCATGCGTTGCATGAGATCCACCGGCCTCATTAGAGCTCTGGTAGTAGCCCTCTTGGCCCACCTGACAGCAGCTGCTCCAAGCCAAAATTGAGGTCTCTCAGCCACATGTGTGTGTCTGTGTACATGTATATATATAAAGATTCATTGGTTTCGCTCTTTTTTGACACGGCAAGACCTGCTTTGTTATAAAAAACACAAAAGGGGAGTAGCAAACTCCATTGGCCTGAAAATTAAAGTTTAAACTTTGCAGCACTCCCACACTCTCAGCCTATCTCTCTCTCTTGAGAGTATGGCTTTACATTCCCCCCATTTTTCCTCGCCAGACCGAGGGAAAAATGAGCCAAAGAATGTTAGGTAGTACTGGGCCCTGCCAGACCAGGGGACAGCCAGTCCGCCTACCTTTTTTCTCTTTTCATTGATTTCGCTGCTTTAGAGCTTTTCGAGCTCTTACTCCCGTTTTGATCTTGCTGGGAGGGAGGCTGCGGGGCTGAAGCCGAAACTTTACAGAAAAAGAGGTGTCCACCAATTCATCTTTACTTCCGAGGACGTTCATTCAAAGATTCATTGGTTTCGCTCTTTTTTGACACGGCAAGACCTGCTTTGTTATAAAAAACACAAAAGGGGAGTAGCAAACTCCATTGGCCTGAAAATTAAAGTTTAAACTTTGCAGCACTCCCACACTCTCAGCCTATCTCTCTCTCTTGAGAGTATGGCTTTACATTCCCCCCACTTTTCCTCGCCAGACCGAGGGAAAAATGAGCCAAAGAATGTTAGGTAGTACTGGGCCCTGCCAGACCAGGGGACAGCCAGTCCGCCTACCTTTTTTCTCTTTTCATTGATTTCGCTGCTTTAGAGCTTTTCGAGCTCTTACTCCCAGTTCCCCCTGCCCTGCCACGAGTGGCAAGCTCAAGTTTTGGCAAGGGAGAAGACATGGAGTGAAGAAATTGTTTGTGAAACACGCGCGCATGAGGAGTGAGCCTTAGCTCAGTTTCGGCAAGAGTGGCTAAGCCACTGTTGATATATAACCGGGCAGTTTTAGAAGATTGCCATCTACCCTGGATCAACAAACGGTCCAACTGCCCGTGGCGTTGAAAATAAAATGTCGCACCTCCCCTCCGTAGGCTATACGGCCTATATTGATACTCGGAGAGTCCTAAAGAGGAGATGGTGTCATTAAACATTTTCCGCCATCGATGGGGCGCTGGACATAAGGCAGTGCCAGGATTGGTGGCTTGTTTCCATTGCCAAAGTCTTCGTAGAGTTTCTTCCTCAGAAATGGTGACGCTCTCGGCGGCACCAGCCCGTCGTCCTCCTTTGGTCAATCCCAAGGAAATGATGGCTACGGAGGTAGGGCCGGCCTGAGAAATATCCTTGTTATGCAACCCTAACAATTCTCCAGTTCTTAGGAGTCCATAAAATGCGAGTAGGAGGGATAAGGCGAAAACAGGTTGGCAGGCAAAGAGAGAATGGCCAACAAGCGTCTGCAAAGCAACCTCTGTTAATGGAGGAGCTCTGCATGGTATTTCATTGGCTACCCAAGTTTTGAGCAACCGCCAACTATTGGCGAGGTGCCCTTTGATATGGGGATCCTTGTCTTGTAGGCCTGCCAACGTGTCTGACGCCAAACTGCGTCCCTCCCCTTGACTCCATAAAAACTCTAAATAGTCCGAAACAATTGGATCAAGGAAAATTCGCTTGTACGGCAGAGTGATTTCATTTGTTGAAAGATACTCATGGAAACGACTAATAGCTCGGTTGTACCTCTCACGGGTTTTGGGCTGTACTGTCAACTGCTGAAGTGACCCCAATTGGGCTCTCGTGGCTTGCCTTTCTGCTTTGCTTCTTCCTTCCATGTGTTGGCTCACTTTCCTCCCCATTTCCTCCGAAAGCGCCCCCTGGAGGGCGCATCCGCCGGATTTAGAGCAGTATGAACGTAAGTCCACACCGCCATGTTTTGGGAAAGAAGGAGCAAAGTATTGATTCGAGCCACGGTTCTTCTCAACTTGCGGCTACTGGTTCTACCGCGAGTCAACGTATGGAGACACACGAGGGAGTCAGTAAGATGCACTATTCTGCGCCCCCTGGTCCTCAATTTTAGAATGCGCCAACGCAAGGCACACAGCACCGCTCTCATTTCAAGGTTGTTAATGTGTTCTTTGGAGCCTTTCCAAGTCCAGCCACACACTGTCCTCCAAACCCACAGGTTCGAGGGTATGCTAGCCCTAAGGCGTTGGTACCGAAGTGTATCTTCACTGGGAGCAGAGATGAGAATATCTTCACCTTTGATACTCACCAGGTTCAAAAGCTTTTTGACTAATTGGAGTTCCTTCCCAGCCACCAAGTGTTTCCTCGGTCCTCCCATGGGCGGTCTTGTCAGAAAGGAGGCTAAGTCCACCGTGGCTCCTGGAGAAGTTCGTTCAATGGCCTGCTGGACACTGAGGCATGGAATGAGGCCCAACGGTTGGCAGAGCTGTCCCAATAACCAGGTCACCACCGTGACGTTCCAGCTATTGCCCAGGAGAGTGAGCCTCAAGTCCTGGTGTGCTGTGGTCCCTTGCTCGCTCTTCGGGAGAGAGGCCACGGTAAAATGCCTAGGGAACCCTAGGATCACTTCACGCTCTTCCACATTCACCAGGCGAGAGGCGCCACCTTTCTGCCATAATTGCCTTTCCGTTGGGCTCAGTTTATCTATCCCGGCAGGGCGTCGACCTGGGTGAGATCTAGGACGGGACGTGGTGAAAGTTGGTAAAGGTTCAGAGGTGACACGGGTCCACCCTGGGGTCAGATACCGGGACTCTTCTATTCTACCTGACAACTTTACCTCACCAAAACCTTTCCATTCGGAGGTTTTTGGCGGGTGCACTTCTGCGTTGCTCTCTGGTACCAGAGCCCAGCTGAGCCAATAGAGGCGCGGCCTGCGTGACATACTGACTCCTTGAGCGTCAATGGCCCAAGGCAGGTCACCAAAGTCCATGCTCATCACTTGACGATCTTGCTCGTCCATTGATTGTACAGACTCCATGATGCAGTGCACCTGCGCCCAGGCAAATTGCCTTGCCACCAACTTCCGAATGCGACTCACATACTTAAAGAGCTTACTTCGGTGATCCCGCAAGGCTCCCCGTCTGTCTACATTCAAACCACTGACCCCCTGGCAGGGTGGCCCTGCCCCGATTATCACGAGCCCTACCGGAGTGAATTGGCATGCCCATTCCTTTACCGTCTCAGCTGTGACCAGATTGACATCATCCACGAAAACCGTGCTCGGGAATCGTGACTCCAGTACTCTTGAAGCCTCTTTGTTGATCTCAATGCTAACGTGTCCCGCTACGGGAAGCCCTGCAGCATCAGCTGCAACCCGAAGGACACCTATGCCATCAAAGATCCCAATTGTTAAAACCTGAGTCATATCCTCAACTTCCGCCACATCTCCCCTAACTGGGCAGGAGGCAGCGATCTGGCCAATGTTGCTGAGACTTCGGCTCACTGTAACACCACCCCCTGTTGATGAAGCATCGCTAGCGGTGACTTTTTCATCAGGCATAGCCCGAAAATCCATGCGCGCCAGCGGTAACAGCATGAGGAAACGCAAAATCTCAACCTTCACCAACTCTGGGATTTCCAGCCGAATGACCGCCGGGTAGTGGTTGAAATCTTCAATAAATGACCAGATACTGTTAAGGCTACCCATCAGGGCACGCCGAAAAGTGGCGAGGTAAACCAGCCCTCCTGCGACCACCTGCATTTCCTTCTGGCTACACCTGCCCGTTGTCACAGTCAATAGAGCCAATTGTGTGTACTTTAAAACCTTCTCAGGTTTTGGGTAAGCACATCCTAGAGCTCCATCGACAATTGCACCTTGAACCTCCGCCTTGACCCCTCTCTGAACAGCTTTCTTTGGATGCCGGGGTATTCCCCAATGCTCATACTCTTGCCTAAGAGCAAGCACACCCGGAGTTGGGGAACCTCGTATGGTCTCAGCCAACTTAGCATCCACCCTTTCCAACTCATCGAAATTATCCAAATACACGCGATGAATATTTCCTGAATTTGGGAAGGGTCTATCCTTCCTCAACTCTTGATGACCTTCCAGATGACCTGAGACTCTCCGTGAGGCACCTTTGACAATTATTCGGTGGATGTGCTGTGCCAAACTCACGCTGTTCTTAAATCCCATGGGTAATACCTTCGCCACCAGGACGTGCCGTCCTGCCTTACCCGGATGGAAACGGGGGTTTACCACCTTGTTGAAACCTAAAAAGCGATGCCAATCTTGAGGAACACGGAAAATATAAAAGAAACATTTCACGTCTTCACTGGTGATCAACAACTGCTGTGAAGGCATCAAAAACAGGGGCCCTGATGACGACCAGGCTGGCAGTGTAGCCACATTTCCTTGAATGCCCCGACATATATTGTTCAGCGGGATCAAATTCATGATCAAGCGATGGACGTCATGCCCATCTACTTGTTCTCCTTTGGACACGCCGAATAATCCATTCAGCAGAGGTTTTCCCTCTACTTGAAACAATTCATTTTCTGCCATGACTCCACATATTCCAGCCGAGATAATTAAGGCCCTCACAGACCCCATCCCAGTCGTGCTCCGTCACCATCACCTTGGGGGGCCTTGTGTAGGTCCTGGATTTTTCATCCAGTAAAAAGTCTTCAAAATGGTCCACATAATGGGCACAACCCGGGCCAACCACCTGACTCAAAGGCACACTGCCTACTTCCACAGGGATCGCCGATTGCAGGTTTGCCCAAGATGTGACCCGGGCTGTAGCCACCTCATCACCCACATAGTCTAGGCTTTTCAGCTGGAAAAAACTCTGCCAGGAAATATCTCCAAACACTTCAGACCATCCCATCACATCTTCCACTGATGCGACCAATCCTTCCAGGAAAAATTTCTGAACCTTACTCAAAGGTGCACTTGACTCTAACGCGGTTCCAGCGTAGCTGTTTAAACCTAGACAAACACAACTAAGCAGCAGGAGGGCATCCTCATCCAGCTTCCCCACCCCGCGTAATAGGTCAATGTTGGTGGGTAACGGAAAAACGTCACCCGTGGTCTGGGTCTCGCCGCGTCTAAACTTAAGCTCTTTTTCCGTTGAAATCAACAGAGACCTAAGGAGGGGGGAAACAGCAGAAAACTTGCAACCACCCAGTTCTTTTGAAAACTGGCCCTCCCCAGACCCTTCATCACGGCTGCGCGCGTCTTTTTCAGGACCACCGGCACGGAAGCAGTCTTCAGCAGCTCCTAGAGGACTTCGACGAAAGCCCACCATGCTAGGGCTAGCAGCTGCCAGCGCCGCCGCATTACCACAGCAGCCATCTTCCAAAGTGGTCCCATCTTCTTTGTTGGAAAACTGGGCACTGGTAGTCGGCCTTGCACCACCAGCGGCATCTGTACTCAAGAACCCGGCCTCACCAGGCGTCAGAGTCATTCTGCTCATCCCTTGGATCTCAAAAGGGCCGCAAGGGTCATCTTGATATGACAAGCCAGTCTTCACTCCCTTTGTTGTTTTCAGGAGAGACTGGTCCTCCTCTCTTTTCTCTTCACTCACTCCCCTCCTAAGGAGTTTCTCTTTTTCCACTCCCTTATACTCCTCCAGGAGTGCTTCTTTCTCTGGACTCTTTCCTTCCGCTGCTCCCTTGTCTAGGAGCCTCTCTTCCCTTCCTCTTTGTCGCTTCCTTTCTTGTTCTTTCCTTTGTCCTTCCCCTTCTGCTCCCCTTTTCCTCCGGGGCGCCATGCGGGGTAGGCGCTGTCGCTCTTGCCCTTTTCCTTTCCTTTGCCCAAATTCCTTGCCTTCAACTCGTCCTTGTTTTCTTTGGCCGCAGCTTGCGCTTCGGCGCGACTCGATAGGTGGCCCTTCTCTGGGGGCAACACCTCCACCCGCTGGGCTACCATCCAACTTGTGCCGCCTGCGCTCATCTCTATGCTCTTCAGCCGCTGAGACAAGCAATCGGCCAGATTGGCCACTTTCCCTTGCAATGCTAGGTCTAGGGCCCAGCTCAACGTCAAGGCCTCCCGAGCAGCTCCTCCTGTCAGCCTGCTGGAAAGCTGACTCCTGTAGTACTGCAAGGCTATTGGCGGTACCGCCGACCGGTCCCTCTCCCAGACCGTGCCCGCCGATGTGAGCAGCTGACGCTGCATCTCCTTGACCATACCATAGGTCAATGCGCCCGGGGCCTTCCGGCTGATGCTCCTCACCTTGTGACTGTCCTCGAAGAGCTGGCCAGATTCGCTGCTCCCCAAGCTCGATGCCTTCGAGCTCCCCTCCAAGGAGCTCCCACTGCTTGGGGAACTTTCGTCCTTCTTCTTTCGCATCTTCCTCTTTACTCTCTTCAGCAACCTCCTCCGTACCTTGGGATCTGGATCCAAGGCCGTCGTCCCAAAAACTTGAGACAGACTTTTTTGTGATTCCACTTTCTTTTTCGGAGTCTTTTTCTCCCTTGTTTGACTGGTCTCGCTGGTACTTCTGCTCCGCTTGGCCTTCTTCTTCTTCTTTTTCTTTTCTCTTTCTTTGCCATCGGCCTTCTGAGCCCTCTCTCTCTCCTCTCTTTCTAGACCGGGAGCGGCCTTGTCTCTCCTCAAAGCGGCCAGCTCGTCCAGAGACCCTTTCATGTTCTCTGTCCATCCCCCTTCGTCTTCTCGTGTCTTTAAACGGACTTTTTGAGCGTGGATCAAGTCCTTGGCTTCGATCTTGGCTGGACAGGCTCCTCCGCATAGATGAACTCGAATGGCCGCTTCGGGATTTTCGGAGTTCCACTTTAGGAGATCTTCGTGGTCCGTGCCCTCGGCTTTCACCGCGAGCTCCACATCCGATGCTCCCTTTATCTTCAAACTCCGGATCACCCCACATACCTTGCAAGGTGCTCCCCAATATTCTCCCTCGCAAACCAGGAGAGTTCCTTGGGTGAGCCGGCCCAACGGCACCTTCGATGCCTCGACCAACTCGCCTGCAATGAAGCGATCTTCCAAGTTCTCCCCTCTCACGCCCGGATCTCTCTCCTCCTCGACTCTGGCCGGCCTCCTCAACACTCCTCTGACTCGTACTGCGTTTTTTGCTGCGGCTTTGACTGCAGCTGGTCTGCGCAATGCCATCAGCGATACCGGTAGTATCGGTCCTCAAACTGAGCGTCTCGCCACTCTTGCTGCTTCTTCCTCTTCTTCTACCCTTTGTTTTCGCCCCAATTGGCGTCGTACCGATCTGAGTTGCCTGGCGGCAAGTAGTACGACTGGAAATAGTCTCGATGTTGTGAATATCCTCTCCAGCTAGATGGAGGGTTGGCTGGCTCTGGAGGTCTGCAATCTCCCCTCCTAGGAGATTCCCCCCCCTTCGAAGTGGGCCTGGAATTTCTATCTCTCCTTGGCCTTCGGCTATCTCTTCTACTCCTCCTCGGGCGGGAACGACTTTTCTTGCTTTTCTTCTTTGCTTTTTCCTTTTTTGTTTTTGTGTCTTTTTTCTCTTTCCGCTCCTCTGGGGCAGCAATGTCCTCCTTGGTCTTCTTTTCCTTTCTTCTGGGCTCCTCTTCTATATCTTCCTGCTTGACGGCGGGCGGCAGTAACTCTTCGTTCTCTACTGGAATTCCTTCTGAAGGGCTTGAGATTTTCCCAGGAGAGACCTCTCTCCCTTTAGGAGCCAAAGGCTCCCTTTTTTCAGACTTAACTTCCTCCTTTGCCGGCTGATCCCCCGCCTCAGGAACAGGCTGGGTAAAAGTGACAGGAGAGGCTGCCTTCGAAGTGGCAGCTGCCTCGGCGGCTTTCCGGGCTGCTTCAGCCCCTTACTCCCACTTCCCAGCCTCCTCCTGCACTATCGAAACCCAAACGCGGGTTTGATCAATGGCCCAACCACGTAGGCAAGGCCCCAATCGCCGAAGCTCGGAGGTCAGCCGCTGCACAGACCGGCAAAAGGCACACAGACCGTCGATCTCCGCCAGGTATTGCTGGCAGTCACTACAAGTCTGCATATGCTGAAGCCGAAACTTTACAGAAAAAGAGGTGTCCACCAATTCATCTTTACTTCCGAGGACGTTCATTCATATATATTAATATACGAGTATATATATATATATATATTTACACATAATATGCATATATAGCGTACAAATAGAAAGACACATATGGTCAGGCCCCCAAACGATAGCTAAGTTGACTCAGAACTTGGTGAACTATGGTTTAACTATGGTTTAAGTGGATATTAAACCATAGTTAACTATGATAAACCTCAGTTAATAAGGTAGTTAATGGGCTTTATAAACCAACCAACATCACGGGGCCTCAGGCAGCTGGATCCCATCTCTCTGCGCCAACCTCAGCAAGGGATGATTCCCAATGCCCAGAAGATTCGCACATTTTTTAACTAAAAAAATGTGGAATCTGGCGCTGGAAAAAAAACACCAAGGATGCACTTGGTTTGATCATTCGAGGAGGGTTTAAAGCCCTGCAATTTACACAGGTTGTCGTGGGTTTGTCATGGGTATGTCACGGGTTTTTGAAACACGATGCATTTTTAGCTTTGTCACGGGTGGGGTAGGCCACGGGTGTACTAGGCTTAAATACCCCACCCGATCTCTTTATATGATTTTTGCTTCAAAGGCAACAAACCAAGAAAATGGGCTACCAGCGGAGGGAATGGTAAGATGTTCGGATGCTTCCGAGACAAGTAGACACTGATTCCTTTTACATAGCAAACTGATTGAACTCATGATCGATAATACCGTATCATCCCTGGTATATCCTGGTGAAAAACTGTCGAAGGAACCTGTGGCCCTTGGCATTGGAATATGTGGAAAACCCCTGAGGTTCATTCCTGGACCCATCAACAAATTCGGGAATGTCCCATCGTATACCACACGGTTGGTACACAAATGGTTATAGCAAATGGTGTATGTATACACAAACGGGGTATGGTATACCAAATGGTGTATGACAAATGGTACACAAATGGTGTATGTGCAGATGCATATCGCTTAGGCTTAAATGAAAATGATGCATCTGCACAGGTGTGACATGACCTTCCAAGGGGGTATCGCTTTTTGGGAAGGTCCCATCGCTTGCCTCATGTCTGCACAGTTTCTGAAAATCAATGTCCGTCCTCTACATATTTCCTAGTGCTGGAGTTTGTGCGGTGGCTCATATTCATATATAATCATATATATACACACACACATCTTTATCTCTACTATACTATATATATATATTATTATTGTACTGCACACTTTTCTAGATCTGACATTTCCTTTGAATACAAACCCGATCAACCACTATCACTCGCCAGCTTGTGGGCCCCTGCTCTCGAAGCTTCGAGCTATTGCTGGCTCTTAAGCCCTGAAGTAGCATCTGGCAGGACGGGCGCCAAGCGTTCCCCCGAACTCTCCAAGAAATCCGGGCGTTTTGCTCAATGGCCGCAAGGGTATCATATGGATTTATATGGTATGTAAGTGTATGTTCTGTTTTTACACATGTGTGGTGCTAGGCCTCCACATCCGCGAATATCGTGGCTGATGGATTCGCTGCACAAAGAAACATGTTCGGTCAGATTGATGGTTTTATGAAACTTCACTGCAAAGAATCAAAGAAACTCCAACCACTTCACTACATCCACCTGAGTTGCTGCACCCTCCAGGCCCATCGAGCGAAAGTCCTGTGCAGGAAATTCAGAGGGCACTTGGAACAAAATCTGAGATGTTGAATCACCCCGGCTGGGCCGCTATGAATCCAGCCTCATAGGCCTGAACATAGTAGTCGTCTGCCATGGCGAAAGTGAGAATCGAAACTGTGAAAGTACGAAGTTGAACTCTTGACATCGCCTTCCTGAACATGGGCGCCTTTGGCAAATCAGTTTCGTTACATTTGACTCTCCGATTTATACAAATAACCTCACTTTGATGCTCCGACTCAATGATTTGAATGCTGCGTGAAGAGAGTCTTCACATGAGCTTGTTGTGTATGCAGATTATGCACAGCTTATAGTTTAGTGGCAAACTAGTCTCCCATGTAATCTTCTCTTTTTTGACTGATCATATCGCCTGGACCCCTTGGAAGACAGGTAAAGTACATGGACACCATGCAGGTCGTATTTGTTATCCCTGGCCACTCGATGAATGGATCGGCTTGGGTACGGAAAATGGTTGGTCTGTGTTTCAGCCAACAGCTTTCCAAGTCCGGTCTGAAATCCAATTGCCCTATTTGCATCAATCACTCTGATTTTTCGAACCAGAGGATGCCAAAAGTTCCAAAAGTGGGTGATTGTTCTATTGCATGAATAGTTAATGTATATATTAATATATGTGATTATATATGTATTATATATATATATATTATTTATTATATATTATATATATATATTATATATACTAAGATCGTTTAGTTTCACGTGTACATCTTAACATACGTCTTGCCGTCTTTTCCACATATTACACCTTTATCTTAGGGGAGGTGCCCCAAGCCAACCTCGAGCCATCTGAGCACACTGCCTCCATTGAGGTGTTGCCTGGCATCATAAATTCCGATAAATTGGTATGATAATGTAATAGTGTATAATGTACATTGAATTAAACTTAAACTATATTAAACTTATATAAGTTCTAAATTCATCTAAATTGGGGAGTCCAAGCATTCCGCACGCCAAAAACGGACCAAAATGCGTTGTGTCATTTGATTGCTTTCCAGACAGAACCCACATACTCACGTACGGTCGTTTGAACAAGATCGATCAAAAATCCCACCGGCCAGTGATGCTGACAAATTTCTGGCATTCCGTCCCGTCAACAATCTCTGTCACTTGTCAATAAATGGCTTTGTCTGAAAATAGGGTACCTCTAAATGAATAGGTTAATCACCATCATCCCTATGAAAATGATTGAAAATGGCTATTTGAAGGGTATACCTGATTTTCAGACACCCAAATGCTTATCCAGTAGTGTGCTAGCAACACGTACGCTGGATCGTACAGATGGTGCACCTGCTCATTGCAACGTTCTGCGCGACCTGCGGAAGGAGCTGCGATGGAATCTTGGCGAAGCCTCGTTTCATCTCGTTTCACCCTTTCCTTGGAAGTCTTACATTGCCTTACATCGCCTCATTTGGGAGTTTCCTAAAATAGGGGTACCCCCAAACCATCCATTTTAGTAGGATTTTCCATTATAAATAATTATAAACGATCCATTTCGGGATACCCCCATTCCAGGAAACCCCCATTTTGGACATTCTGCAACTTGAGAGTCCTGTCTCCAGCCTGGAGTCTTAATGTCGTCACTCACCTGCAGGAATGTCCGGATTGAACTTGAAGAGTGAACAGCGTCACCCCAAACACCAAAATGCATCATCCTTGACGACACCAACACAGTTAAAACAGTTGATCGGCCCTGGATCACTTGGAAACTGTTGAAGACCTTTGACAGTCGAAACTTAAATGCAGTTTGTCGAAATCATCCCTGGCCCCACTGAAATCAAACATTCCAAGACTTGGTTTAACTCATGTTTAATTTATGGCAAAAAGCTGCGCGAGACCCCATGATTCGATGGCGACGGAATCTGTGATCCCCTCGGAATGCGCCTTGCGTGAACGAGGCGTCATCCCCTCCATGATGCCCCCAGCGTGGCGAAGGCAATGGTTGGACTGTCGATATGCCGCATATTGCCACCTCGTGTTGTGTCTGTTTCAATGGTGCCTGCCTGACTATTGCGAGTGTAACGTGAACGTAAGAAAATCGTAAGAATGTCATTTTGATAACATGCATTGGTCTTGCTATATCATGAGCCACGAATACTTCAGGGTCACAGGCTACTATGACAGCAACGCTGGGCAACCAACAAATACATGGATTCTGATACAAGCAAAGGAATACAAGATGTTTTGCGCAGTGAAGGACATGCACAATTCCCTATCATGCTAATCCGAATGCCTAGTAGAATCGTCTGGATGGCAGTGCTCCAAACCTCCAAACTGATCCCTTCCTACTGGCTGACAGCGACTCCTGTGATTGATTCTGAGAAATATTGATATTACACCACGTCAAACAAGTTAGTATATATGTTTATACATTTACATAATTGTATTGAAATGTATTGAATATATATTATATATACTATTATATACT